TAAAACTCTTGTTATTTTTTTTTTTTCAATTTATGTAATTTGTTTTACATGCTCATATGTATTTATGTATGTAAATTAAAGTCGAATTTTGGGGACTATTCTTTAAGAAAAAGACTACCAGTTATTCAATTCTTTAGTTCAATTAATATTAAGCTATTTTCTGCTCAAGTAAGGCCGTAAGTGAGCAACTTAATCCTAGAAAGCAAACTCCATACCGGTGTCAGCAAGTCGAGCGCTACAGATTACGATTACAGACTTTAAGTGGTGTGATATGAAATAACCAAGGTTAGTACTATGTGATAGTTGGACAGACACAAATTTTCAGCTCTATCGGTCAAGAACTGCTGGAGTCAGAGGGGGTCAAAGTTGGACATTTTGGTCATACAGGGTTTTATTCACATAAGTGTAACTTTAAACCTATTGGTCCTAGCAAAAGTTGTCCAAAGGAGTTCAGATAGCTATTTCTTCATTCTTTCCAAACAATTTTTTTTTTTAAATTTTTTTTTTTTAATTATTTTTTTTTTAATGGGCCTTTTTTGCTTAAATGAAAGTTTATACAATTTCCTTGAAGGGCTTTATAGACCCATAATGGGATGCGAGTATGATATCTATCAAAAAAATTATATTCTAACTCAAGAATAAAATACCTATTTTCAATTTTAATTTCCCCTATTGTTTCAAAATGATCGTTTTTGTTGTATTTTTTTTTTTACTCCAAAGAAAGCTTAGACCATTTCCTTTAAGAGCTTTTTGGACACTTAGTTAAATTCTAAGACAATCTAACCATGTCTGTCCGTCCGTCTGTCGAAAGCACAACAGAGTCCGAACGGAAATAGCTACAGATTCGAAATTTTCCACAACATTTCTTATGGGTAAGGTTTATTTGGTATTGGAAATGTGCAATATCGATCAACTTTTTCGCATAGCCCCATACAAGTGGTCCACTGAAAAACAGCTTTAACAATCATATCTGTTTTAAAAATGCGAGTACCTATAGCGACATTAATAAGTTTCATATGAGCCAAATTCTTTCTACGAAATTTTATAAGGATCAGTCCATAAATGACCCTACCCCTGGTCCCCTTCAAAAAATGACTTTAACGGCCATTACTGCCTTAAAAATACGAGTCTAGCGCTGAAATTCGTTATAAGTAAGTTTCTCACGATCAAAAATCTCACTACCAAATTTTATGAGAATCGGTCCACAATGGACTCTACTCGCCATATAAGGACCCTTGAGAAAATGACTTTTTTCAGGCTGAAATTAGAACAAATAAGTTTCTTAAGAGCACAAATCTCTCTAACGAATTTTATGAGAATCGGTCCATAATTGACCCTACCCCCCATATAAGGCCCCCTTCAGAAAATTACTTTAACGCAGATTACTGGCTTAAAAATTCGAGGGCCCCCTGAGAAAATGACTTTTTCACAACAATTCTTATGGTAAGGTTTATTTGGTATTGAAAATGTGCAATACCGATCAACTTTTTCGCATAGCCCCCATACAAGTGGCCCCCCGAAAAACAGCTTTAACAATCATATCTGTTTTGAAAATGCGAGTATAGCGACATTAATAAGTTTCATATGAGCCAAATTCTTTCTACGAAATTTTATAGGGATCAGTCCATAAAGGACCCTACCCCTGGTCTCCTTCAAAAAATGACTTTAACGCCCATTACTGGCTTAAAAATACGAGTCTAGCGCTGAAATTCGTTATAAGTAAGTTTCTCACAGTCAAAAATCTCACTACCAAATTTTATGAGAATCGGTCCACAATTGACTCTACTCCCCATATAAGGACCCTTGAGAAAATTACTTTTTTCAGGCTAAAATTAGAAACAAGTAAGTTTCTTACGAGCACAAATCTCTCTAACGAATTTAATGAGAATCGGTCCATAATTGACCCTACCTCCCATATAAGGCCCCCTTCAGAAAATGACTTTAACGCAGATTACTGTCTTAAAAATTCGAGGACCCCCTGAGAAAATGACTTTTTTCATACTGAAATTAGACACAAGTAAGTTTCTTACAAGCCAAAATCTCTACCGAATTTTATAATCAACCCGATTGGCCGCCCATACATATTCATGGTTTAAAACTTGGACAAAAGTATTTTGTTTTTTAAAATTAATATTTTGTTAATACGAAAGGAATGTGTCTACAATTGCCTTAAGTTCTATTTCAATTATCAACCTAATGTTTGAATTAAGATCAATTTAGTTTGGGCTTACTATTACGTTTAGTCTAACTCCTAAGGCCACCAAAATCTACAACCAGATTTTACTTATTAAAATACAAATGCAAAAAAACATTTAAAGGATCGATACAGGCAATTTCTTTTAAATTTAAATTCAACCGCCAAACAAACTTCATAATTTAATATTAGGTTTTCAAATACAAAGCCAAAAAAAAACACCGACTAAAATTCAAGTGGTAATTAAATCTTTAAAATATTTTTTTTTTTTTGAAAACCAGAAACCAAAAAGCCAAAATATAGAAAAAACAAAAACAGAGGAAGATGAAGGTTTTGTTTTGTTTACCTGCGTTTTTAAAACATTGGCCGGCCGATTTAATGGAAACACGGTTAAAAAAACAAATCAATGTACGGCAAATGCTTGGAACTAAGGCCTGATGGTTACTGTTTTGTTGTTGTTTTACTTATATTTTTTGTACGGCTTTAAAAGAAAAACCAAAAATATGATTTTTTTCTTCTGCTTGTTTTGGTTTATAGCACTCAAAATTTGTTGTTGTCGTTTGTTTTCTTAAATAATAATAATAACAACAACCACATGAAAATACACTGCACTTATATATTCAACATAAATAAAAAAACTGCGTGGTAGTATGAATTTTTGTTATTTTTTACAGTTTGTTGTTATTTCAAATGAAAATTTGTATTTATTTTGATATTTTTTTGGTTAAAAAATTTAATAGTATAAATTAAATAAAAATAAAAGATTTTATTGTAGGCAGCAGAATTTGATTAGAAATATGTATTATGTATAGAAAAAAAAAAAACAATAAATTTATGAATTTAATTCAATAAATTTTAAGGCACTTTGTTATTAATACGTCAAACAAAAAAATTTGTTGCTAAAATTTACATCATTAATAAATTTTATTGCACTTTTATTTAATATTCAAATAGCTGAATGATTCTTATAAATATTTTTATATTTATTTCTTATATTTTCTTTAATTTTATTAACACAATTTGTTTGTTATAAATCACTTGAGAATTTGTTTTTTCTTCTTCTTCAAAATCTATTTTTGTAATAGAAAATAATATAATTGCGTTATTTTCATTTAAATTTCACACGTTTATTTTTCCACGATTTAAAGTGTTTTATTTTATTTTGTTTTTTATATGTATATATTTTTGTTTAAAATCTTGTGTTTTCTTTTACGTTTTCTTAAGAAATTGCACTCGTTAGAATATTTTTAAAACTCAATACATTCATTTGTTTTGCAAATTTTTGTTTTTATTTTTTTTTTTTTTCTTCTTTCTTTCTATTTTTGTTTTACTTAAAATATTATTTCAGAACAAATTTTTCAAAATATTTTTATGTTTTTAGCGGCTTTAAAAATCCTCACATTTAACTTTGTGAGAGTTTCATTATCAACTGATTTTATTATTACACTCTCATAGTTCAGAAACGAACCTCATAAAAACAAATCACTAAAAATCTACATAAGAGAGTGTTTAGTTCTCTTAATTGTTTTCATTAAAATCCCACACACTCTCTTGTTTACGCACTCAGTTAGTAGAAGTGATGGAATCAGAGTTGCCAATTAGTTTGTATTTATTACACAAATGTCGTTGGGTATTTCTTGATGTGTTTAAAATTTTATACTCATTTGTGTCTTAAATATTATATTTTTTAATTTTACATAAATTACGAATATTGACCGTCTCTGTCTCTAGAGTCTAGACTTAAGTTATAAAAGTGTATTCGAAAAAAAATTTTGACGTTAGGACGGCTCTGGACTATATATTCAATTATCGTACCAATAAGAAGATACATACATATAAAACACAAAAATCGGTCAAAAATTTTAAAAGTTATTATAAATTCTTCAGATCATTTAGAGTCACAAAACACTTAAATGAGAAATATTTCAAAACATTTAGCACATTTTGGGAAATATGCTATTAAATATAGAAATGTGAGATTTTATCTTTATTAGATAATGTAAATCATATTTAGGGTATAGTCATAAATGGAAAAACTTTCAGACGGCAGTCTCAAAATTTCAGTTTGAAACTTTTAACAATTTTGTTAAACAAATTTTAAAATTTGGAGAAAATCTCTATGTGACTCATGGACAATAAAAAAGAGTATAAAATGTAAAGAAATTTGGTCAATATCTTCCACAAATTAGCGGTACCAAATATTTAAATATTAAGGATTTCGGAGAAAATTTTTTTTTCTAATATTTTTTAAAATTAGTCTTAATTCTTTATTGTTATACATTTTATATAAAACCTTTTCAAAATAAAAAAGTTCCATCTAATAGGAAACATACATCTGAAGATTTAGTAAATCGATTTAGTAAAATAGAAACTGTGAACCCATAAGCTTTGCAATATTGGGAAGTTTTTTAAACCCAATTGAAATATTATGTTGGAACTCAGGAAAAATATATAATGAAGATGTTAGTTTCTACGTTCCGTTCCGTGATGAATTAGCTGATTTGTTTTTGGCTTACGAAAAGCTGTGTAAGTCGTTAGTGCCGTTGTGATTTTGTATGAAAAACACGAATCAGCTGATCCGTCACGGAACGGAACGTAGAAACTAACTGAGCCTCTAAACGTAATATATGAACTAAATTTTGCTAGAAAATTGTGGGTGATGGAGAAAAACTGATATCAGATTCGGTTTCAGCAGCTAAAAATGGATAAAAAACTGTCGAATATGTATCAAAAGTTTTTACAAACCTACATTTCCTATATAAAATAAATACAAATTAAGTGGACGAATAAACAAAAATACACTTACCTTTCAACAATTTTATACTTTAATCCAATTTATATTTTAATTTTTTTACGCCAGATTATGAGCAAATTTGTATATCCAAATTATACACCAAATTCTTATTTAAGTCATTAAATTTGAAACCACTTTTCCAATAAGAATTATCTTATTGGTCTGTTTCTTACAAAGCGACTGTTAAAACCGTTATTTTTTATTTACACAAACTATGGCAACACTATACTCGTTATTTATTATTTTTTTTTTTATAAATTTTGTGTGAATATAATTTTTTGCCGCTTATTTTCTTTTTTTATCTCGTTTTTTGTTTTGTGCGAAAGAATTGTTCTTGTATTTGTTACTTTTTAATGGCTAATATTTGTATTTGTATTTCTTCTTTCATTGCTTTTTCACTGATAACGCCATGAAAAGTGAGAGTATAATTTTTGCAATATACAAAAAAAAACTGAAAAGTAAATAAGAAATATAGAATGGAAAACAGAAAAACAGAATTGTTTATCTTATAATTTCAATATACAATTTCACATTATAAACATTATACCTAATTAATAATTTATGTAAACTCCTATATTAAACCAATTTCACACGAAGAGTTTTCGTTTTAGCTTAGTTCTTTTTTTTAGCGACCTGCTTGTTTTTTTTTTTTTTAATACACAACAGTTGTTAGATTTTAATCGTTTACTTATTTAATAATTTTTACAAAAACACTTTTCAAAACACAATTTACATGAATTGTCGTTGCCGTTTTAGTTTCATTATTTTCACCGACCGGCTTTTATTTAATTAATGAATGCTTAACAATTGTTTAATTTTAATACACGTTTATTTTCATTGTCTGTCATCCTTGATTTACACTTGTTCACACTTAAAATACCACTAAATAAGTTTATGGAAATAAAAATCTATTTTGCCTTTAACTAACTCACTCATACTATTAAAGATCTTATGATATTAAGAGAGAATTTGTATATTTTCTCTCTTAAATTGCAATTTGTTTGTGTACATGAGTATGCACGGTAGAGTGTCCCGTAGAAATGTTTGGTTAATTTGTGTGATGAAAACTCGAAGGATGTACAATAGAGGAATTTAGAAAATTCATATGAACGTGTTAAATAGTATAATGAAAGGGTAACCACTTGTCTGTGGTACCCTACTTCAGATAAATTAAAATATAATTTATCTTTATACCCTACACCACCAATGCGGCGAGGGTATTAAGCGTTTGTGCTGTTATATATTATAGTCTAGTCTATTGGTTGGATGGTTTAAAATGGTAGTTCATATCACCAAGGTTAGATATGAAGTAACTGCAACATAGAGCAGGGCATTCACACAGAAGATGGAAGACCGTTTCCTCCTTTTCCCTGTCTTTGCAACTGCGACAGTGTTCATTGAAGGGGAGCCCAAGCCCACTGTCCTGTTACTACTGCTATCAACCTCGATATATCCCGCCTTCTTCTCATTGAAGGAGGCCACAATAACTTGGCCCCTGAGGATACTGAGGAGTTGCTACTGAAAAGGCGTTGCAGATCCCGTTCTGGCAAGCTCTTCTGCCTGTTCATTTCTATAGTACTCCCCATGCGCTGGGACCCAAACAAGGGTAATGTCGGTCAGGCGACCCAGTCTTGATAGATCCTTCTTGTATTATCTGACTAATGGGTAGGTTGTTTAGTGAGTTTAGTGATAGAAGTGCCGCTTGACTATCGGCAAAAATTCTTATGTTGCCGTGAACATTGAGGTCATGTAAGACGGTGAGATTTACATACTTACCTCCGCTTCTTCACAGAAGACACCAGAACCAATAACGCAGTTCATTTTTAGAACCATCTGTAAAGATTCTGGTGATATATTCGCTCAGTAGGTTACCCCTACACCACTCGATCCTGGAAGGTATACTGACTTTGAAAACTCTATCAAAGTCCGTGTAATATAGTCGGATGGCTGGACCGTATTACCGAATTGTTCATAATTTTCCTTTTTGAGATGATAGCATTCGATATCGAATATGAAATCTAGTACATTTTATCTTAATTGCGATATCAAAGTAGGTATGCAGTAAATCTGCCCCGGTATTTTGTATTTGCAATAACTATGGGAATAGAACAATTAAGAGACCATGTAGTTAAAAAAAAATACAATAAAACATTTTTTTTTCTGAATCGGTATAAAAACTAACAACTATAATCTAAATAATTAAACAAAAATCTAAAACAATTTTCACTTCCTTTAATGATTAATTATTTCAAATTCAATTATTGCAATTTCCCATATCATTCCCAAACATTCTTTTTATTAAAATTTTTTGTCATTAGATCATTCTAATTTCCTTTCAAAACTGTAAACTCATTAAAACAAATTCCAAGTTGACAATAATATTCTTTGAAAATAATACAAAACAATCGCCCAAACATTTTTAGCATTTATGACTTCAAAACACTTTGCGAATAAAAACTCGAAATGTCTAATTAATGATCTGGCACAAAAAAGCAAAGTGGCCAAGAAATAGGGAAGATTTAAATAAAAATCAAGATGAACATAATACAATGTCATTCAAAAGGAACACAAAGGCTGGCGGTGTACGGCTGGTGCACATTGTACACACATAAAATAGCAACAAATCACTAGATAGAAAAAAATGCGATTCGATAAAGATACACGAACAAAATAAAACTACCACCACCAGCAAAGCAAAGAACAACAATAATACGAATTAAAAAATAAAATAAAACAGCAATATTATCAGAAAAACTAAAAAATACAACACGTGCAACAAATGTGTTTTAAATTCACAGTCTATAATCATCGTCATCAACATCATTATCATTATTATCTGCATGTAAATGCAAACTGTCAAATGACTACTACCAAGCCTGAATCTATAAATAGGCTAAAATGACATGTTTGATCAAATGGCTAAATGTTTGCAAAAAGAAAATTTACAAAAAATTATTAAAAAAAAAACATTTGTCCACATTAATGTTGAGTTATAAAAACAGCTCAGAATTTTATTTTATTTACATTTATGTATATCCTTAAGGGAAATATGAGAAAATCACTCTAATAATTCCGAATTGAGATTATCTTCTTACTTTAAATGTATAAATTTTATGATTTATTTTATATAATTTTAATGAATTAAACATTATTAATATATATAAGTATAATAATTTTGAATTTAATAACATCACATTTAATTAATACACAATTATAAATAGTATTTTCCTTAACTTATTTACTATTATCGACCAAAATTTTAGGATTTGCCACACGAAAAACATTTGGAACCATGCTGGCCAAAGTGTTAAATAAATCTTCCGAAATATCATGGGGCAATAAAAGTTGCAAAGTACTGAAAAAATTATGATTATTATAAAAATCTCCAAAATAGCATTAAAAACGCCAACTTACCTCAATTCTGCACCACCCCACGAAGCTGATTCAATCATAAATCCCTTGGCACATTTAAATACCAACTCCGCTCTACGCATACACCATTGTACGGTCATATCTTCAGACATTTCATGTCTCAACAGAGCCGGTATTGTTAGAGTCGTTACATCATGTCTACTGGCAGTTTTTAAAATATTACGCAAACCCAAAATAACTGGATGACGTGAATTGATTTCACTTGGACTATTGATAGGTTCATCCGAGATCAAGTGGAATATAACATGCGATTGCGAGAGATTGGAATGTTTGGTAATAAAAAAATCTCCAGTTTTTAGTTTTGCACTAGTCTTGACGGGGGAATTACTGGCGCTGCTGTGTATGGAATGCGTAATACCTTCATCACCGCTGGCAATACTAATGTCGGTGCTAGCGGTACTTAAACTTTTTGTACTTGGCGTCGAGGAATTATTGCTAAGGTTAAGTTGACGTATTTGTTCTTCAATTTTCTCCAATTGGTCGTCGATCTGAATAAATAAAATAATAATTTAGAGTAACATCTATTTTATTTTCAAAATTGGGTTAAAATTTCGAAATTGTGGTATTTGTCGATTTTTTTTTTTCGATTTAATCTTAAAACTATATTTCAAGTTTTAATAAAAATTTGGACTTTTTCCTTAAATCAGATTTTCTAATGATAAATCGACATTCTGGAAAAATTCCGGTAATCTGGTTAAATTTTAATTTTTACACAATTTTATACTTCGAAATCTGTTAAAATTTCGGATTTCTTGTGACATTCCATTTTTTTTAACAATTTCAGAACTTTGATAAAATTGGGAAGTTCGGGAAAAATCTGAAGATTTTTGTAAAATTTTCCATTTCTGAAATTTTGATTTTCTAGGAAACTATATAAAACTTGATTGACTGAAATGTATAAACTTACCTGACTAAAATGAAACTCCGTTGACATATTGGCATTTTTAATAATATCCTTATTAGCTTGAGCTTGTATAGATGGTGTCAAGACGACAACACCACACAAAGAACTCGAATACAAACCCAAAGCCATATTTAAACCATTTAAGCTATTAAAACAGCATAAGAAAAACTTTAAAAAAAATCAAAACAACCTTGAAATTTAAATCCATTTACTTTTACCTCTCATCCGCATGCAAAGGACTACACAAATCATTGACGTTGGCACTCAATATGCGAATATTATGCATATGCTTTAGTTGTGAACCCAAATGTATGGTAAAACTTTCCTCCATTGAAGGCTGTTGCGATATAAACATAGACGAACGATTACCTAGTGGCGTGGCCACGGGAGATGATTGAAACAATTCAGAAACTTGACTAGTAATCCAATTACGATATTCATTCTTTTGATGACCACGCTTTGCCTCCAATTCCGATTCATAACGCTTGCGTACATAATTCTGCGTGGAATACTGTTGTGCCAGTAAATTGTTAATATCCTCAGATGTGGTAGTGATATCTAATTGATTTATTTTCGATTCCATTTCTTCTTGTTGTGAGTTATTCAGAGTTTCCACTTCTTTATCCATTTGTGTGTTCATATTTGCTATGACTTTAGCATATGTACGTTCTTTATTCAATATATCTTCCAGAGAAGAGGAATGCACTAGGCGGTGAAAACTTTGGGCAAATATTTCATCATCTGTGGGTCCTATACGATCAGCAAATTGTATTAGTTCATCTTTGTAGTGTCTTTCAGTATCACGTATGATTTCCTCAACATCAATTTCATTATTCCGGGCCTTTTCCAATAGGCATTCAGCATACTCGTCTTTAAATTTTTGATTTTCAAAATCAATAAATTCTTGCAAAGCTTTTTTGATGCCTTTAATGGAAATTTTAGTAAAACATTAATAAAATAATAAAATTTATTTTAACAAATTAAACTTACCAATATTTTCATCCAAATAACGCATCATGGGATCCATTTGACTTAATATCTGCGTTACCAGCTCCTCCAGACATTCATCTTCATGTGGTATGGTTATTTCCAGGGAAGCTTCTTGTTTTTTCCCCTCATGATCTTGATAGGAATAGTTAAATCGTTTTGTGGTGACAGCTTCCAAAGATTCAACCATTTTATGATCTTATAAATTTTATTTATTTTAATTTTAATTTACAGTGTTGTGTAGACGTTTGACTTGCTAAACACCCCTAAATTTTGTTTTAATTATAATTAATTATCAGCTGTTCGACAACTGTTTGTTGACAGTGCGCAGAGATGTAAACACAGGGTTCGGATTGCTTTTATTTTCAAATTTTAACGGTTTTATAAAAGTTGAAGAGTATTAAAAGTACGTTTTCTTTGTTTTATAGCAAAATTACTAAATTGAGTTTGTAACTAAAAAATTTATAAAAATGTAAAACATTAAAAAAAAATTGAGAATATTCTGAAAATGGAACAAATATGAATAAAATATAATGGATAAATAACTAGCAGACGATAATTAATTAAAAATGCAAGACCTGCTCACCTTCTTCGTATCAAGAAAAACATTTCCTCCTTTTTTAAAAGTTCAACATCAGCATGGATGGATTATGTGGAGACGAAAAGATCTATATTTTAATCTTTCAGAGAGATCTCTTATTTAGTAATCGTACTCTTGTAATCTATTTGTCAAAATTCACTTGAAATTGCTTTGTGACACAATACAAAATGAATAAATAAAGATTTCCTCCGCATTCGTGCTCTCAAAGTATTCTATTACTAATTGAATAAAAGAAATGTTTTAATACAATAGTTGTGTTTTGTTGCTATCAATGAGTGTTAACGCTTAAAGTTAGCAACAAAACGAACATTACCTGACTTGGCATCACTCCACAGAAGAAATCTGCTAAATCTTGAAATTATTTACATTTTCTTAAAAAAGGGTTTTTTATTTGATATTTTTTTTTTTATTTAAATTTTATTTTAAAATATTTTTTTATTGTTTGACATAAACACATTAATATTTGTATTTTTATTTTTGAATTGGTAGCACTTTTATCGACGTTAAAATTAACTTGTATAATTTTACACGTTAACTCCTAACGTTTATAAATTTTAAATTTATATGAAATTGCCTTTGAACGTTAGCAACAAAACACAACTAATGTTCAATATACAAAATGTTTTATAAAACAAAACTTTATTTTAATCTATTTCAAATTGAATGATTACAGCTTTGATTCCTATTGAATTTTACATTCCATCTAAAAGATAAAATTTGTGCTAGAATTCAATCTATTACAAATTGGATTACAAAATTAATTTTTTGTAAAAAAATAAAATGTTTGAAAAAATCTGTATGTTTGAAATTGAATTAATTTTTTTATATAAAAAAATTAAAATATGTACTCTTTCCTATGGGGATTTTTTTAAATCCCCAAACTAGTTTGCTATAGTCTGATAAGCCTACATTTTTGCGTACAACAGTGTTGTCAAAACAAATGTATGTATAAGTGATTTTTTTCTTTAATTTTTTTCCAAATATTGAAAAGTCCTCAGTCCGTTTAAAAAAGTTAGCTGTGTCATTTAATTTACTTATAGTGTTGTAAAATGTATGTATTTATTATTCGAAACTATACAAGCCCTATTCTTTTTTTTTTTCTTTTTCAATGCAAACATTATTTAATCTTATATTAGACTTTAAAAACTAAATTAAACATTTGAAAATAATTAAGAGATTTATATCTAACAGAACAAGCTACAACAAAACTATACTCCTGCCAAATATAAGCTTTATATTACTTTTCGTTTAAGCTCTGATACATTTTTTGCTAATACTTAATGGCGGACGGGCAAATAGATATATTGTTTTAATTTTAATAAAAATATGTGACCGGTACATTAGTGGTTAGTGTTCTAGTCTATTAGACCGGAGGTGGTGGGTTCGATTCCCACACTGGCATTGGTTAAGGAGCGCACAACAGGCCCGATAGAGACCTAGGTGTATTTCTTCGGATTAGATGTATATAAATCCTCCTTTCAAACTAACTAACTTAATAAAAATATATTACCTCACATGTCCTGTCTTTAAGAAAGATTAACATTTATTAAGGACTGATAATATACATATTTATATATAAAAACTCTTATGGGTCTACGACCACTATTTTATGGCAGACTTAGTCAAAATTTTTATGATTTTCTGGTAAACAATATTTTATCCAATATCTACTATTGTTAAATAATTTAAAGACCAATAAGTAGCTTGAAAAACAATAACATATAGCAACGAATCGAAAAACCTAAATACATTTTTAAAATTTCTCTATAAAACCGAAAACTACAACAATTTTACTAATATGTGTTTAATTTTTTACGGACAATTAAAACTTGAACACAAAATTATACAGATTATTTAATACTGAATTAATTAAATTATTTTCTAAAGACTTGATTACTATTTTAAGATTCCTTTTCCCTATAAAGGTGTGTTGGCAACCCTTTTATTATCCTTTCTCGCCTTCATTTTAATCTACAACACATAGGGCGTTTTTCCGAACCCTGACAAGAAAGAAGAAAAAATCAAGAACCACACTTGTAAACACAGAGTGGCAGGCAAAATCATTAAGTAAAAACACTTTTTTTTAACAAACCGAAAAAATAAATCTATAAAAAAACAACAAATCGCCAAATATTTATTATAAAACACGACAGATATCGACAGAACAGATATGGAAGTAAGTTTAGAGCCATCGAATGAAGGCGTAGAACAAAAAGATTGTAAAAATAAAACGGATGAAACTATGACAGAAATGCAAGTTGTGGTCTTGCCATCAGTAGTAGAAGCAGCTAATGGTGCTAGTGCAACGGCTATAAATATAAATAGTAATACAAATCAAATGGGTGAGAATGCGAATGTAGCAACACTCTCGTCGAAAGCTTTAAAAAGATGCTTAAGTGTGCCAATACCCAGGTCGCAGCCACCATCTAGGGAAGTATCACCAGCACCAGTTTTTAATATATTTGCACCACGCGGAAGACGTTATTCGGCTAGTTATAGTCCAGCCAGGGGGTTACCAGCCTCCGGCACCACAGCAGGTTTAAACCCCACAAGTAGTGCAGGTGTTAATAATGCTGGAGGCAGATCCGATTCATCACGCTGCGTCACACCACGTATTTCTCAATTGCGACAGGAAGAATGCGTTGATGGCTTAAATATGCGTGAGGTAACCCATGAGCGAGAAGTTCATTCGGCCATACAAATATCACAGAGTTGGGAAGATTTATCCTTAGTAGCTGAGAATTGGTCTTGCAAATCTTCCGATGAATTAACTAATCCTTTACAGGTTATGGTGAGTGGTGGCATGAGCAGCGGTAATAGTTGCTCCAGTCCTAGCCCTACCAATAATCGTACTAATTTACGTCTTCCATATGGTTTGTCACCATCTCCTACACGTCGCAGTACCTTTGCAACACGCCGCTCTATGTCACCCATAGCCATAAGACCCTCACAGTTGGGTCCGGTTAAGAGAAAATTCGAGTTGGATGAGGGTTCTTCGATCAGTTCGTGGGGCTCTTTGTACTCCCAGCCACCGGCAAAGAAAATGTTTTGCGAAAGTCGTGGCTCTTCACCCATATGCCAATCACCATCGAGTTCTGTTTGCCCCAGTCCAGATTCGGGTACTGGTACTTATGACGGACGTATTACACCTAAACTGTTGATATCAAAACTATGCACCAATAATACAACAAACACAAATTCTGCTTGTTCCTCACCCATGTCGGCTTCATCTTGCAGTGATGTTATAGAATCTACAGTTGCAGCTGTAAGCGCTCACTGTTCTTCGTCTTCATCCTCCTCCTCTTCGTCATCGTCTTCTTCGGCATCGTCAAATTCTCTGGTGTCTAGCAATAGTGAACCCATGAGTATTGGCAGCAGTCTGGAAGAAACCATCTCAATTTCCAACAAATTGGCTATACCAGCCATGCAGGATGAATCTACCCTAATGGATGTCCTAAAGCCAGACACCACCACACCTGTTAATATGGAGGCTTGTACAAAAATGTTAGTAGAACCTATGGTCACTAGCACAACCACCACAAATCCAGCAGTAGTTATGGATGAAAAAATGTAAGCAAGTGTTGATGTTTATTATAAAAAAAACAAAAATACATAGAATTTAGTTAGCCTTTATTTAAAAAACCTATTATAATCCCAAACAAAATTAAGCGTAAATGTGAATGTGATGTTCTACAAATAGACAGGGAGGAGTGCAAGTGATTTCAAAATTATAAGTTTTTTCTCTTTAATCTATGAAACAGTTGATTTTAAGTTAAAATTTTTATCATTGAAATCATTTGTTCATCTCTCTCGCTATCTTTGATACATGAATATTGAATTGATATTTAAAATTTAAATATAAAAAGTATTGATTGATAAAATGATATAAATATTCAATTAACCTAATAATTAGCTAACAAATGAAAGCCTATCAGTTTTTAAATAATTATTTGTATTGATTATCTAGTTGCAATACAATAACGGCTTTATAAAATTTCGATATCGAAACTAAGTGCTGAAATTTTTGTTCAATATTTTAAGACAAGATTGAAAAAATCGGCTCAGTTCAGTAAAAGAATCTAACTTTAAAAAATGTGCTCGTCAAATTTAAAATCTTCTAAAATTGAAAATTATCTTAAGTCAATTTTTAAAGAAGTTTCTTGATATATGAACCGATCTTAATAGATATTATCTGACTAAAACCAAAAGATTTATTTAGAAGATTTTCGTAAAATATATTTCTGAAATCAAAAAAATTTACTAAAATTTAAATTTTTACAAAAATAAAAATATTTTTAAGCGCATCCCGATTTCATAGTTAACATAATAAGGTTTTTTATTTCAAACTATATTAAAGATTTTATATTCGATAGCTCTCTTTAAACGATTTAAAAAATGCAAGACACTGATACGCTTTTATTTGTTACCTTTTATAAATAAAAACAAACATAATTCAATAAATATACCCCAAAAATATTAAATATACTTAACTATATTATTATTAATATTAATTTTATTTGTTTATATTTAGTATGTATGTATGTATAATGTTAATTTTCTTTTAGTTTCTAGTTAAATATATTAAAAATCCTGTATTAAGTAATTCATCTTTAAATTTACAAAACATGATTTGTAAAATCCCATTATTATATTTGTTAAGTTACACATTTTGTTTTATGTATGCCCGTGAATTATTATTTTCACTTCATTTATTTTATTTTAATATTTGTATGTTTCTAATTTATGTTAAACCTAATCAATTTTAAGGTTTCTTAATTTTAGTAAACCTTTAAATTAAAAACAAATGAAGAAAAAAAAAACAATAACACAAAATACCATGTTAATCAAATATTAAAAACTAAAACCAACACAATAAATTGATTTGTTTTCATGTAATTTAAAAAAAAATCGTTTTCATAATATGCTAATGAAGAAGTTTCAGAACAATTAATAATGTTCAGAATGAAGGTTTGTATATCAAAATATTACATTGTAGTATCAAGTTGTGGTTGTTTTTTAATGAAATGTTTAATGATTTTTTTTACTGAAAGAAAATAAAAACAATGGCGAATCAAATTTTTAGTAAAATCCGGCAAAAATGTTAATCTTGTTTAATGAAAAATTGATCCAATATAGACAGACAATGATCTACCCAATCGGCCAAACAACTGTATTAACCGAAAATTTTATTAATAAGAGAAGGACTTCCAACAAAAGGAAAATATATTGCAGCCATACAAAAGGCCACCCGAAATGCAATATAAAATAGCTATAAATTTCTTGATTATACAATAATAACAATAAAAATTTGCACTTAATTTATGGACCCAAAAATTATACTCTAAACTATAGTTAACATCAGTCCACATTTGCCTCTTAATCCCCATATATCACCCCCTCACAAAATTTAACGGTCTCGAAAATACGAGTATGGCATACGAAATTCAACATCTCTTGACCAGATTTTAGGAGGATCGGTCTATAACTGGCAACAAATAAGACTATTGTCAAAATAAAACTGTTAAAAACAATGGTATTAGGATAAAATTCGGCAAAAACGATTACTTCCAAGTATTGTGTTAGGTTTGTGTTTAGGAGGGTGGGAGGACATTAAATCAGAAGATATACACCTAAGCAACTATGTTTGTTGGGAAACATAAAAACCTTATATGTATAGTGAATGTATTATTGTCCGATTTTCAAAAACTCATTTTACTGGACATAATTCCTTAGAATTTTCAAATCAGTGCATATGAGGGATGTTGTTACATCAAGAATAATATCAATTTCAAGATATTTAGATCTGACTTCAACAAAAGCCTGACAATGGCAAAGAAAGTGATCCGGAATTTTACTGTCCTCTCTACATTCGTCTGAATCCACATATCCAAATTTTTATAACTGTGATCGTAATCCTGTATATCCACTCAGAATACGTACCATACGTACTAACCTAAAACTTAATTTTGAGGAGGCTTCTCTTCCTGCTCTCGTTAGGGTTACCCCATACCGTTCCATTATTCTAAGAGGCCTTATGGGATTCCCTTACCAATATTTTAATTCACCCCTCGTTGCGTCGAATGGTTTTGCGTTCATCAAGTTAACTATCACGAGCTTTAAAGCTAGTACTTTCGCTTTTTCTCTTCCAAATTCTGTAGATTATGATTTGTAATTGAGTCAAGATCTCATTAAGATCATTGTTTTGTATTGTGTATCGTTTTTTTCCTTTGTTTAAAAAGTCAGCACTGTATATAGAATGGCATAATAAGAAATCCAACTACCCAGAAACCATCAGGCCATACTTTTTTTAAAAAATGTCCATAAAATTTGGTCCATTCAAATAGAAGCGGAAAGGGAAAGTTTTTAAATCCCATTGATCCATTATAGATCTCAGCCAATATACATACATATTAGATCTTCCCCAGTAAATTAAATATCAAAAATCTAATGAAAATTTTAATTTATAAATTTTTATCTTATTTTGAATCTCAGAATCTATTATTCGCTCGGCTAGAACTGGTATTATTTTTAAATGCAAACCCTTCAACTAATTTTTACATTTCCCGGCGGCCGGTTGTACGTACCGAAATGACTCGAAATTATCGGTCAAGGGCTGTCAACCCCAGCAACAACAAACGATCTAAAAAAGGTTTTCCAACATAAAACGGAATGGATCATCACAAATCTTAAAACATCTACCTAACTGGGAAATAAATTGTATAGAAAACGTATGGGCATTTCCACAGAAAAGTCTACTTTTGTCACATCACGTCACACACCATTAACTGCATATATGTATGTATCAAGGGAAAAAACATTTATATTTTTAAATTGTTTATATTTTTATGAAGAGCTCTAATAGCTCTATTCATAGAATAAAATGGCGACCAATCAAAAGAAATGGTCCTAAGATATAGGCAATTAATGTGCGTGACGTGATGTGACAAAAAATATACTTTTCGGTGGAAATGCCCATATTTATTTCGATTACGTTTCAGCATTCAGTTGCGCTACCCAGCAAAAAAGTGTGGCAAAAATCCAATATTTGGATGTCAAAAATAAACCACATTCTTTCAATGACACGCTTATGTAAATTTCATTGGGTTTTAATCTGAATTTGATGTACATCGAATATGTTATTTGTAGTGACTTTTCTATAACTCTTTCCTCATTTGTAAGGAAATACTTAATCGTATTTGTAACGAAATACTTTATCGTAGTTTTAGATGTGATTAAGATGTTGTTTGTAAAGTATGACATCAATTATATTTTGCTGGGTACGATCTGAAAACGGGTTTCCAATATAAAACGAAAAAAAAAACAATTCTATTTCCAATAGGGGCGATTAAATGTGCCTATCTCTTTCTATCCGAAAATTAGTTTTTCCTTTCCAAAATATGATTTCATGTTCGAACATTTTTAATGATTTTCAGTTGCAAAATTAATTTACATAGCAAGGTTGCCAAACGTTTCGAAACGGTGAAAAGATAGCGGTACCGGTATTTAAATTTAATTCGGTAACGGCATTTTGGCGCTATTGGATTTTGGCTTATTTCGGTAACGGTATCGTTGTGTTATCGGTAATTAGGCTTATTTCGGAAACGATATTTTAGTGGTAACGGTAATAGTGTTGAAAATGTGTTTTAGCGATAGCTTAGCTTAGTAATTTGGACATATTAAACAATAATAAGTCGAAATATTTGAAATCTGCAAAATTATTTTCGAAATACTCTTCATTTCAATTCGAATCGAAATTTTCTCCCTTTGGCAACTTTCGTATTCTGCATTTCGATTCGACTCTCCGCCACATAAACAAATTACAAAAACGTAGTTACGATCGTAATGCAGAATGCACACAATCGTAAAGCATTGAAACGAAATTGAATTGCTTCTTCTTTTTCTTACGTTTTAGTTTTTTGTTGGAACATCTTTTTTCCATCGTTGCGTAACTGAATGCGTAAACGTAATCGAAATGCAGAATAGGGGTGACTATGTCCTTTAAATTTTATAATAAATCATTATATTCTGGATTTTTTTTTAAATACCTTATATGATAAAGATTTTATTTATAGAATTATCCTGTTTCGGACCGATTTCAAAAAATTTGAATAGGCTATTTGTATACATTGCAAACACACATATTTAGCGAAAACATAATATATGTATGACTCTGTTAGCCTTTCTAATACTCTATTCCAATTCTAGAAATAAATAAAACACAGATTATTATTTTTTTGTTTTGTTTTTTGATTTTGTACAATTAATATATATATTTCCGTTCTTTTTCTGCTTTATTCGTAAATATATATAATTTGGATATATTTTTTGTTATTCTTAAGATTAAGAAAAATACTTAAATGAAAGTATACTTTGTTCCAATATTATTTATAAGAGATAATAAGGAACATCTTTTTTTCTCTATTTATTCTTTTTGAATTTGTAGAAATTTGAAGATTTAAAAAAGCAATATTTTAATAAACTTTTGCTAGGATGCCTAATTTAAAAAATATTGTTTTTCTTTAATAATTTGTTAATAAGAAAGTGAGAGGAAAAGTTATTAAAATATACATGATCTGTTTTGTGTTTTTGGTGGTTTTAGTTGCTATATTTATGATTTTTTTTAGAATAAAATTATAAACAAAATTTTTGTTTTTATATATAAACATTTATTTCTGTTTTTTGTTTGTTTGTTTTCTTATAATATTTTAATAATTTGTTCAATTTTTTTTTTATAGTTGCATGATTTGTTTTTTTTTTTTTTTTTTGTATGATGATACGATTTGTTGTGTAAATTACAAAAAGAAAATAAGATAATATTTATGAGAAATACTTAAAATTAAAAAAATATATATATATTGTATATATTTATTAAATTATATATATTTATAGTTATATAAAAAAAGTATATTAATGTATTTATTACTATGTAAAGGGGTACGTAATATTGCCGTTGAGAAAAATAAGAAATAAGTGTAATAATCAAACTTATAGAAGAGAAAATAGGTCTGCTGTATTACAATAATGAAATTATTACAACGAAAATTTGTTCCGTAATTTGTTTTTAATAAATTCATTTTTATTTTACAACTCTTTAAAAAGAACTAAAATTCAAACAACAGTCCTTGACTTTATAAAAGAAACAAAACTAAAGTTTTCACTACATATTTAATGAAGTTTAAGGATTATTTTAGTATTGTGTGTTTTTTTAGCAAATAGGAAGAGCAGGTTTGTTTTTCAATATGAGGTGGGTAGTTTTTTTTTCTGTTTTTCAGGAGGGGGAAAGAGACAAATTTCAAATATACATATGTTGTATGTATATAATTTCAGCAAAAAAAAAAAAAAGAAAATCTTGGTAATTACTGTTTTATTGTTTATTTAAATTTAAAAGTAAAATTATAGTTATTTTAAGAACTAAAAAAGTAGCAAAAAATTATTACATATAGTTTATATTTATTAAGGTAAGTGTGTTGGAGGTGAAAAAAACTGCTTTGTATGTTGTAATTGAATGAAAAAATATTTATATTGGATATTATGGATGCTGCATTATTGTATGTAATTTGTGTTATGGATTTGGAATGGTTTGTTTTTATTTATTTTAAACTTTAAGAAAATATATTGCAGAATTGTTTTTTTAAAGATGAAAATTAGGGTGTGAGTGTGACAATATAAATATTATTAAATTTGTATAATAAAACAATATATCCTTTGAATACAAGGATTCCCTGTGTATATGTGTGTGTGTGTGTATATAAGAAGAATGGGCCTATAGAGTTGTGGAGGGACAGACAGCATTTTTAGAAAAAAATAATGTTGATTTGGATGATTGTTGACTATGATTAAATTATAATTATAATTATATATAAAAAAAAGAACGCTGAAAGAGAGAAAAAGTAAAAAAATAATATAAATATTTTTTGCTTTATTTGAAAATTTAAAAAAAACTCTATGTTGAAGAAAACGCTTTGAAAAGAAATTGTAAAAATGTTTTGAATATTTAAAAATATTAAATTTCGCACATGTTATCTTTTTTGTTTAATTTGTTGCATTATTTCATGGTTATATTAAAATTCTACCAAATATTTATTAAAAATTTTTGAATAGTCTCTTCGTTTAACTTTTACTATTTCTTTCAATTAAACGCAATTTCATCATTTACAACCAAAACGAAAATTATAAAAATAAAAAGTAATTAGGAAAACTTACCACAACAAACTAAATTATGTTATTGATAATTTGTATTTGAATTATGCTGTTTAATAGCATAATGCTCTTGTATTTGTTTGTATTATTAAGAAAGACTTTCGGTTGCTTAGGTTGGTTTTGTTATCTTTTGTGTGTTTTTTAGTATTAAAAATTACTTTTTAATTTCTTGTTTTGTTTATATTATTTAGTTTTGTTTTTTTCTTGTTTTTCTTTGTTTAAAGTAAGGAAGTTTTATTTAGTAAGGTTGATGTCTTGGCTGGCGTCCTGTCCCTCTTTGTTTGCCGGATTGATAACCGCCACCAGAACCTTTAATAGATAAAAATCACAGAGATAATTAAAAAAAAACATAAACATTTTATTGAAAACATATACATTGAACTAAAACACATTTTTAAACTAATTTATTATAAATAAACTACAAAAATCCAACTACCAATTTTTTCTCGTATTTATTTTAAAACCAAAAGGATTTACATTTTCTTTATAATATATAAAATTTTGACCGATTTTTTATAATTTATGATTAAAATTATTTTTTGTTTTTTTGCTCAAAAATACCAATTGTTTTTTTCTTTATACAGTACAAATAGGAATTATTTGAAATAATTATACATACTACCTCCTTTGGGACCACCTCTGGGTCCACCAGCACCACGATTACCACCACCACCGCCTCCACCACTACCGTAACCACCACCGCTACCACCATAGCCATCATAACCTCCAGCATAGCCATAATCTTTTGTTATTTTAGGGCATTTGTGTGTTTTTTTTTTTTGGTTTAGGCAAGTGAGTTTTGGTTTTTTATTTTATTCATTTGATTTTTATTTATTATTTAATTACGTTTGTGTTCATTTTAAAAAATTATTTTTTTTATTTAGTTCGTTTTCATTGGTATTTTGTGTTAACACATTCATTTATGATTTTAATTAAAGAAAAATGTAAAAAAGCAAAAAGAAAACAAAATAACATAAGAAATCTGTATAAAATTACATTTAACTTCTACAAATATTTGCTACTTTACATTACACTACAACATTTCTTTTAAAAAAAGTGTCATATTATAGGAGAAAATACGGTCAAAATTATGTTTTTTTTTAATTGCTTATTTATAGATAGTAGTGGGAAAACAAAAAGTTAAAATGGTGAAAGGGGAGACAGGTCTTTTAAAACACACAATAATTTTTTTGTAGTTTAATATTTTTCTTTAGTTATTTTTCGAATTTAATATTTTACCTTTAGTTTTATTAATGGGTTGGTTGGTTAAACATTTCATCTCCCTTTTAATTCGATTTATACGCATTTTATATGCATGATTTTAGGTTTATTTTAAGTATATTTTGTCCTATTCAACTTGGCATTAACTAAAGTTAAAGATTTTTAAATGTAGATAACTCGTTTCCAGTTATTATAATTGTACTTAAGTTAAAGGATATCGATGAAGGATAAAGAGATATTTCAGCCAGCTTATCTTTCCGTATGCATATAATAACGAGAAACAAATTATCGGCATTATAAAATCCTACCTTTGTAATAATGGGTCTAAGTATTTCAAAAATTCCAATCCATCCAATGGACAAACATATTTTCGCAAGTCACATATAATAATCAAATCTTTCTAAAATAGGATACATTCGAAGAGTTTAATAAAATTTCAAAAGTTTATACATGTCCAATATTTCAAGATCTTGTTTGTGATGGGGTTTGAACACCACTAATGGCTTAAACAATATCTATCTTAATAATACGGGTTCATTACTCGATATTACACATTCACCCTTACTCTGCATTTCGATTACGTTTCCGCATTCAGTTACGCTACGATCGAAAATTGGTATTCCAGCAAAAAACGGAATCGTAAGAAAAATAAGAAGCAATTGCATTTTATTTCAATCGATCGTAACTACGTTTTTGTAAGTTATTTTAGTGACGAAGCTTCGAATCGAAAACAGAGAAAATTTCGATTCTAATTGAAATGCAGAATAGGGGTGAATATAATGTACAACAATAGGAAACCAACTGGCAACACGACCGGCCGTTCCCGCGTCTATTGGATTTTCACTCCGATCGCTGAGATTGATGAACAAATATTCCCCAATCAACATCCTCAGAAAATAACAACTTTTAAAGTTTCAAGTTTCCAATATGCCAATAGAAATTAAAACAGATTTACTGCAATCTGCTTTGCTAAACAATAAAATTTTGTCAATTGTGCACCGAAAATAATCCTCATATTTGTTCTGTCTTATATGCTGTGCAATCTCGTAAAACTGTAATTTCAAATAAAATGTATAAAATTTACATATTGAGCCTGTGAATTTGTAGCCAAAGTCATGTTATTTAACTTCGATTAGAAAACAACATTCAGCCCTTATTACCGATATGTAAAAAACAAAAAAAAAAACCGTCTCTTAATATCTATTAAAAACCAACGTTGTTGAAACAAAAAAGAATCCTGTGAAATTGTTATGAGGAAAACAAGTTAGGGAAAACACATTTTTAATAACGACGAAAATAGCGCCTTCTTTACTAATAAATACATGAGAAACAAAAAAATGTTTTTTAGGGTTTTTTCTTTTATTTGCTCTTTTTTTTAATTACATATACACATGATGTCTAATATAAGGCATTTTTTTCATAAGATAAAAAACAATTTATAATAATTTAAGCTGTGGTGTTTTGACATATTTTTTTCTTTCCTTTTTTTCCTCTTATAAACAAAATATCGTGAGAACTTTTGTTTATAGCGAAAAAAAAGTATAACACAAAATATATATTATATAAGTTGGTTGTTGCTTGATTGATTTGGGGCGCAAAGCGGCGCTCATATATAATTTTTTGTTTAATATACTAAAAACATATTAGTTATATAAAAAGAATGTTAATTTGAATTGGCTTAAATTTCTTTCTCATGTTTCTACAATGCATTTTTTGATTTTTTTTCTTTAGTTGACATTACAAAGTTTTGTGATTTAATTTTTTACCTTATTTTCCACACAACAATTTCAGCGTTAAAAAACTTGAAAATTTGCAAACATTTTCATTCAAGGGAATTGAAATAACGTTAAAACGTTTTTGGTAAGTTATTTTAGTGTTTGTTTCTTTTTCATTTAGGATGTTTCTTTTTTTTTGGAATTATAGTTTGGCAAAAAATTTTTGTGTGTTTTAATGTCTCACCTCACCGCAGTTAAAGGGGGGATTGGATTTTTTGTTATATATGTATAATATTTATATGTTTAAATGTTTTAATACAAGAAAATTTATTTTTTAAATTTATCATACGATTTTTTCAAGAAAAACAAAAACAAATTTACTATTTTATTTTTAAGGACTTTTTCATTTTTAAGTATTGTTAGAGAAAAAATAAAAAAAAATTGAACAAAATACTAAAACTAAAAAGTGGAATTTTAAAATTTATAAGAAAAAAATTATTAATTAAAAAATAGAATTCAAGACAAAAAAAATTATGTTTAAACTACTACATAACAAAGTTATACTAAAAAATACAATTAAAAATTAATTACGGAAAAAAATTATTAAAATTAACCACAAAAAACCAGGTTAAAAAATTAAAGACTTAAGCAAAAAAGTTGAAAAACAAAACTTCAAGGTTTTTTTAATTTCAAAAATAAAAATGGTGTGTGAGGCGAAACATTTGAAAATTCGGTATTACAATGTTTTTTTTTAAGATTTTTAAAAGGTATATTTTAAAATAATAAAAAAATAATTAAAAATATATGTATTTATATTTTTAAACTATATAAAAAATTATTAATTAGGCAAATAATAAAGATTTAAAAACATAATGGCAAATACTTAAAAAATATTCATAAAAGTAATAATGATGCTTTTATCAATATTTTGAAAATATTTTATATTAATTTTTAACTTTTATAACTTAAATTTATATAAGAGATATATTATATGAATGAAAAAACATTGAGAAACATGCAAGTGGTTAATAAAAATATATAAATGTATATATTGTTGTTGTTTTTTTTTTATAAATATAAAATAAAGTATAATTGTTTTTGTATTACATAATTGGATAAATATATAAATTTTAATTTTATTTTTCTTTTTTCAAAGGTTTATATTAATAATAAAAAAAATTTAAGACGGCTTTATATTTACACCTACCACACGAACTACTCAAACACAAGTGACAAACATAAAAGAAATAAATGAATAGAAACTTTTTGAAAAAGTTTTTTTTCACCTTCTTATTAACTTTGTTCTAGAATTAGAGTAGTTGAGTAGTGAGTGATTATTATTAGTAGAAAATATGTTTTATAAGTTAAAAAAAATTGTTTCAAATCTTGTTTAAAATTGTTTTATTAATTATAAATCATTAACCCGTTATTTGTTTGCGTTTTATTTTCATTGCTTTAGTTTTAAAAATTGACGAAGTGTGTTTTCATAATGAAAATTAAATTAATTATAATAAATTTAAACGCCGCATTTACGCGTAAAAATCTAACTGATGGTAAAAAAAAATAAGTAAAGTTATTTATTAAGCTGCTGATGGTGGACCAAAAACTAATTTAAATAATTATTGGGAAGAAAAAACAAGGAGTTTTAATTGATCGTTTCTTTTATTATTCATTCATTTTCTTTTAAATAACAAATTGTCCGAAGGCAAATAAAAGATTATCACCCCAAATATACGTTAACTAACAATCAGAGTTTGTTAACGTATAAAAGGGAAGTAAAAAATTTTTAATTTAGAGAAAAAACTTCCTTTGCTAACGCTCCCACAGTTTAAAACACCTTCAACAAATGTATTTTTATAATTGGAATATCTGTTGACACTTTCCCCGCTCTTCTTTAACAATTATAAAAAAATGGAGATCGAGTATTGATGGAAAAACGTATTGCACGTTATACTTAAGGGGGAAACAATTTCACTTTTCAAATACCAAAATGTTTGCAGGATTCTTCAACTGGAGAGTGTTAGTTATAAAAGCTAAAACTATCTAAATTATGAGTTATTTTACTCATTTGAATATTTTTAAGGCCAGAAAGTGGTAGAGAAGTAAAGGAAACTATTTCTCTTGTTGCTACAACGTCTTGCTTCGTTTCTAACCTTAAAACTATTGTGAGGAGTTTTTTTGTTTGTTTGTATATAAAATGTTTGTAAATATATATTATTGCATATTAAAAATATATGCACGTATTTGTTTCTTAGAATATCAAATTGTATTTCTCTTTTGTTTCTCCACAAAGTGTTATAAAAAAATGTATAACAATTTATGGTTCTTTCATTCATTCGACCACTCTCTTTTGATTGAGTGGTGAACGAGTAGTATGTATATTTGTATGTCTATATTTCTATATATATTATTAAATATAAAGGCTTTGTTTTTTATTTGACTTTAAGCCAAATTAATGATTAATAATAAATATTTATAAAATAAATAACTATGTATTAGGGAGGAGGGGTGGGTGGTTTGGCCGGTTGATTCGTTTTAGGAATAAAGAAGAAAAAGTAAAAGTCTTTGAGGGTTGGTTGATGGGAATAAATAACAAAAACTTTAGAGTTTGCCAAAATAAATAAAGGCACATTGCATTGCATTTTTGTGTTTTATAAACATTTCTATATGAATATTCCATTTTAATTTGTATTTTTGTTGAGTAGTAAACATTTAAAATAGAGAGAATGAAGAAAATTCAATCATTATTTGTGTATTTATATAAAATGTTTTGGCACAATGAGGTATGAATGTGTTTTTAATTATTTAAGGCAAAAAAAACTGTATAAACATACATTACATCCATTCACTTCTAGAGCTCAGCTCGAAGATTGTAATACAAAAATGTTTGAAACTAAATAGAATCGTTTTTCCACTGGAAAATAATAAATGTATGTAATGTTTATTATTATATAAAATGACTACTGCTTGGAAGTTTTTGTTGCACTTTTATGTTTTGGTATTTGTTCTAAGCTTTTACTTTTATATCAGGTCGATCGGTAAATCTTTCCTTTCTTTTTCCTTTATTCTGTTATTCGTTTCAAACAAATAGAACTTAATTTCTTGTTTGCATTTTGTTCCTACTACAACTACAATTATATGTTTGTATGTATGTATGTATGTATACAAATGTTTAAACTCTCTCGCTCGCTCGTTGGCTTTTTATTTTCTAGAGGTGTTTGTTATTGTTAATTAATTAATAATGGAACTTATTTTTTAATCAACACACACACTCACTCACACATGTTTAATAACACACACGCTTCGTCAGTTTTTTTATTTGTTGGTTAGTTATTTTAAATACTCTTGCTTTTAATCTTTTACTTTAGATATTTAATAAATTTATTTTAGTTTTTAGCTTTACGTTAATGGTCGTTGTTGGTGATTTAGATTTCATTTTTTTTAAATTAATTTTAAGCAATATTGAAACAAATTTATTTTGTTTTTTCTTCTTTCGTTTAACAAATTAAAAAGAAAAATATTTAGAAAAATATTATATTTTTTGTAGGTATATATTAAAATTTATCAATAATTATAATTATTATATTAAATATTGTTATTTAAAACAAAAAAACTTTAATAATAGAAGAAAATATTAATCATGTCTAAAATTTGTTTTTGTTTTTCTTTTAAAATCAAACAAATAATAAAAAAATATATAAGATTATATTAAGATGGTTTAAAAATACCTAAATCAAATCAATATATCAATAAAAAATAACAGTAATCATCATGAGTCTATTGCCACAATTCTGAGTTTTTGTTCAATTTTATTGTACAAAAAGAACAAGTTGAAGTTGGTGGTGTTGTTTGTGTCTATTGTGTTGTTTTGCATGTTTTCTTTCTTTTTTGTTTGTTTTGTTGTTAATTGTTTTTGCTTTTGTTTTTTTTTTTTTGTAAATATCTTTTAATTTTCGCGGTTTCTTTACTAAAGAAACTTATTTGAATTGTTGTTGTTGATAATTACTGTTATTTTTGTGATAATTGGATGATGTGTTGTTATTGTAAAAACTAGAAGATGTTTGTGTAGGAGTACTATTATTATAATTATTTTGGTATTTACCGTAGCCATAATCGTAGCCATTGAAAAATCCACCACTGTAGTAATCACCATAACCGGCATCGTAACCATAACTACTATAGGGATATGCACCAGGACCAGACCATTGATGAGAATAACCTATAAAAATGTTTAAATTTTGTTTGTTTTTTAATTTTTTTAGTTTCGAGCACAGTTTTATTTTTTTGTTAAAGATTTTTTATTGGAAATTTTATTAGAAACTTTTCTGTTTGAATTTATTTGAGATTAATTATTGCTTTTTTCTAAATAAGAGACAAAATATATGCAAAATGAAAAAGAGGCAAAAACTCCATAGGTTTAACAAGTGGTCCGATTCTGGTCATATTCTTTATTACTAATTGCATATAAAGAGTTTTGTGACATTGGGGAAAATAATTAACTTTTTTAATATCAGAAAGACCACTTTAATATATTTACAATAATTATTATTATAATAATACAACAGTTGTATTACTGTAGTTTCATATAAATACTTAATTAGATACAAATGGATTAAGGGAAGTTATAAGAGATATTGAAATATCAAAAATGTTATTTTTTACTGGTTACAGAATTTCAATATGTAACGTAACCATCGGCACATCAAATATATTTGGGAGACAACCATCGATATTCGTTCAAGTTTTACAAAACAAAATAAAAATATACATTTCTACATTTCTTTAAGATATCAATTCACTTAAAATTATTTATTAATTAAAACTTTGTATACTCCTAAGGCTGATGTCAGAGTGCCTGCTACAAGCGATGCGAAGCTTTGCGCTATAGACTTTTGCTTGTGTTTTCTCGCATCAAGCATTGCTTTCACTCTGACATGACACATAGGAAAACACAAGGAAAGGTTTGAAGCGCAAAGCTTCGCATTGCTTGTAGCAGGAACTCTGACATCAGCCTAAGGAAAGAATTCATTTCAAATCCAAAAGCACATTAAATTTGTCAAAACTATAGGCAACAATAAAAACAAGATCCAATATAGACTAGACAGTAGTAAGGTATATATACTGCACTATAGTGAAGGCTACAATCGAATCCAAATTATAGTCCAGACTTTAGTAAATATGTATACAACACTATTTACTTAAGTAAAGTTTACAATAAATGTTTATTTTGTTGTTTCACCTCTTGCATTGTAAGAGATTATAAACCTCAAAATAAATAGGTTCGGCATTTGATAATCTAACTTGAAGACATTAATAAATTGAACAAAAATAAATCGTCCAAGAGATAAACAACAAATCACACAAATAAGGTGAATTTTTCATTAAATTTTTCAATACGTATAAAAAGAGCCACCATGCCTTAAACAACATTACACCATGAAACATAAATGATCAATAATTTACTTTAAGTTAAGTATGGGGTATTGCAGATTTTACACCTTTGAAGTCTTAATAAAAAAATACGAAAAGTTTCTACTAATTTTCCTACTCTTTAGACAGATATCAGTTTTAATAAAAACACAATGTAATAAAATAAATTAAACTCACCACCACGTCCGTAGCCACCACGACCACCACGTACACCACCGCGACCACCGCGCATCATCATCATTTGATTTTCTGGTTTGGGGGTGGCACGTTTTACATCAACTTCCTTGCCGGAGATTTTTTGTTTGGGTGTTTTCAACAATTCAGTAACAACTTGTTCTGAATCGAAGGTAATGAAACAGAAACCTTTACGTTGGGACTTTTGCTTATCGAAAGGCATTTCAACATCGACAATCTATAAAATAAAATGAACACAAATAAACAAAATAATTAATAAATTGTAAAATTGAATAGTTAAAGTTGTTTTTAAAACTTACATTGCCGAATTGACTGAAGTAGGTTTTGATTTCATCATCACTGATTTCGGTGGTCAAGCCACCGACAAAGATTTTACCATGGCGGGCTTTAGCTTTCTTGGGATCAACTTTCTTGTTGTTGATAACATGTTCGCCAGCTTCATTAACTTTATCAATAGCATCAGTTTGTGTGAATACAATAAATGCAAAACCACGAGAACGTCCAGTTTGTGGATCTGTTTTAACATTGATGCTTTCAATTTCGCCGAATTTGCTGAAATGTTCGCGCAATTCCTCTGTAAATTTAAAAATGTATAAATAATTAGTTTTGTTTTTTAAGTATTCGTTAAATATTTATTTATTTAGATATTTAAATTTTCGTTGTTGTTACTTACTTTCTGAGGTTTCCCAGCTTAAACCGCCAACAAATAATTTTCTGTAAAATTGTTTAATAGAGAAAAAAAGACAATTTAGTTTAAGTTCAAAACCTATACTTAAAATAAGTTAATTAAATGTGTGATTATTATTCAAAGACACTTTATAAATAAAATATTTATTATTTCTTTTCAAAACTTAATTTTGAAATTTTACTTTTAAAATTTATTATGAGTACAATAGAAAGCGTTACGTTTTAACAACACGATTTTCACTTACAAATTTATATGGAATTTGAAAAAAAAAAACAAATCACCAAATCTAATATCGAAAAAGAATTTTAAAACGAGTCAAAAAGAGAAATCAAACGACAATTATTTTACGTAGTATTTTTTCAAATATGCTAAAAGTTCAATAGACAAAAAAATCTTACGTTAAATTTAAACAAATCTAGACAAATATCATAAATAAATAAGACTGGCCAAAAAATTTACATAACGAGAGAATATACGAGTATATCAAAATGTTTAACACCGCTCTAAAAAACTTGTTCGTTTGGTTGTAAATCAAATCAAGTAAATTTGAACGTTAACTTTTAGATTTAATTTCGTTTCGTTTAAAAAAATTGCAAACAAATATACAACAATTATTTTATTTTTATTATTATTAACAATTAAATATTATCGTTAAAATGACAACAACGTTAAGTAGTGTTTTAATCCAATTCAAAATTTCATTCATACGCAATAGGATAAACTAGAAATTTTTGTGTGTATTTTTTATTTATGCTTTACTATGATAAATACCATCATCATCTCATTGGAGGTCAGTGTCGCTGATGTCTGGAGCACAAATCACAGTTGTCCACAAAATACATCGTCTCTTGTGTCGCAGAACACCTGCTGCACAGCACAATTCTTTCATTCATTCAATCGTTTCTGGTCAACAAAGCAGCTGTTTGTGGAGTGAAGCGTTGCGTTTTGTTTTATTTGTATGTTTCCACTTAGAAGCTACAATGGTTTGGTATGGTTATGGCTTATAGTACCTGCCGGAGAGGAACAAGATTAGTTCACTCAAACACAACAGGAAAATCAATGATATATAGATTATGGTTTATTTTTATTTTGTTGGTTATTACATGTGTGTTATTTGCATCCATTATTTTTTTCATTATGTACATATTATTAAAAAAAAAAAAAACTTTCTTTACTAATCTCAAAAGTAAGAATAATTGCGCCACCACTTTCCTGAGAACTTATTAATCCATACATATATGTTTGGTTAAAATTCTTATAATTGATTACATTTTGTTTTATGTACTTTCTTCTTTTTGATTTGACGATTGAAGTTAATAAAATTATTAAATTTAAGTTGTTTTCTTAATACTAAAATCAATGATTGGAATCTACGGTAATATTGTATTTTATGGCACTAGAATAAGCTACATATACACTTGTATGTTTGTATTCAAGTTAAGATAATAATTGAGAAAAACTAAAAAGGTGTTTTGTTTTTTGAAAAATATATGCTTTATTTATGTAGAAAGTTTTGTACGTTAACAATTATTTTTTTTTAATTTTAATTTAAGAACTACAAATAACACAATCACAATAAGTAATGCTTAAACCGAAATCTCTAAAACTTATTGAGAATCCAATCATTGAAATATATTTGTTGTTTGATCTTTAAATGTTTTAATTTTTATAAAATTATAATTAAATAAAAGAATTAATCAACCACAAAATAAAAGAAAAAACTAAATACTAATAGAACACAAAATATCCTTAGCAATTATTAAACCTAATCTTTTGAACAACGTCGATTGGAAGAACATGTATTAATAACCTTCACCGTTTAAACTAACCATTAAGGTAGCCTTACTATCGATAAATATTATTTCTGTTGAATTTAAAAATGATATCTAGGTAGTTCATTTTTTAAAGGGGTTTTGGAATCTGTCTACAATCTATTGACTAGTCTATAGAATAGCTTATGTACTACTCAGCAACAATTTATAACACAAAGAATAGACTTCCCCATGCCTTTGGGGAGTCCAACTTAATAGAAACCTCCTAATAGATTTCTTTTTATAAAATGTACATTATTGTATGAATAACTTTTCAATGACATTTGTATTTTTCTCGATAGTTAATAATTTTTATCACCAAACACATGTTCATTTTGTTTAAAAATTTCCAGCCTCTAATTCCTTCCAAAATTTTACGATTATAAAAATTTAACATTAAAAATTATTCTTACGAATTTCTACTACAAATCTAGACAAATTATTTTTGCAAAAATATCATTAAACGTGATTAATCCTTTTTAACAAAAAAAAAAGTAAACAATCGTTTTTTTCAATGATCATTTTAGGTATACATACACACAAACATATACCACGCACACACACACACACTCATAAAAGTATAAACAGCGACCGGTATATACAAACGAAAGATATACACAAAACAAAAGTAATGATGACAAATAAAGAAGAAAAAATGCGAACCGCCATTTTGATAAAATGACGAGGCAAACGAAAATTTGAAAGATAGAAAAAAAACTAGCAGAACCAGAAGAAAAAAAAAACTAAGAGAAAACAAATAAAAAAAGAAAATTTGCAAAACAAGGCATAATCAAAACTTAAGCATGCGTTTTCTATGAAAAAACTTAACCTCACATTTAAATAAACATGATTTTTAAATATTTAATAATTGCTATTGTTCGAAAATTGCTATTGCAAAAAATAAAAAAAAATATCAGAGTACTATGTAAAAACAAATTTAAAGTAATATTTTAAAACCTAAAAATACATCACAATTTGTTTGATTTATTCAAGTACAGTTGTACACACACGCGCAAATAATGGGGGGAACAAACATAAGACCACAGCCAATACAATATATTTTATAAAAAGAAATAACTCAAAAAAATACCAAAGTAGAGAAATAATCCTCGATTCTTTTTAATTCCATATTTCTGGGTGGCATGTGTATACAATTTTTTTTTCTTATCGAAGTATCTCAACGTCGTACTATATAGTTTTTTCTATTTACGTAACAAAATTTTTTTAATGAATTTTGTTTAAATTTAAGAAAAACGCAATTAAATATTAGAAAATTGTTTAAATACCTGTCATCGTCGCGTGCATTTGTATCGTTGGCATTTCCATTGGTGTTACCGGCAGTTCCACCATTTTCTTTTTCATTAGCGCTGACGTCTTGTGAGAAATCTTCACCATTCATTTCACAATCTTGATTCTTGTTATCGGCCATTATGTATGGGATTTGTGTTTATTTCTTTATATTAATATAAATTTCAATATTTTTTTAATATTACTAAACTTCACTTGTTTTTTTGTGTATTACAAAATTAAAACTACACAATTTCTAATATTTTTCTTCAAATTATTCTGTTCTGCGACGACACGAGCGGTTAAGCTGATGACTTGTAGTACATTACCGGAAAGAAGACAGAAGTTGACGATGGTTCACTAGCTATTCGTGAAATCTTCTTTTTTACTACGCTGAATACAATCACGTGCTGAATTTCGTATTTACTAGCGTATTTCTATAGTTGTCTCTTTTTGTTTTGCTGGAAATAGTGTTGCCACATAGCGTTTGTTTCTTGTATTTGAATTAATGAAAAAATAAAAATCTGATTTTCAATACAAAGTCTTGATTAATAAATAAATACTTTGTAGAAGAAATGTTTTGTCACAGCCTAATACAGTTTTATTTCTTATGGTATGCAATGCTAACGATAATATAGAGACATCAAAGATTATTTTCGGTATTCGTAAAGATATTAATAGTTTATTTTTGGTTTATAAACCATCAATAACTTTATTATTTTTATGAATATATTATGACAATGTGTTTTGACAGAAGAGCACCACAGAGACATAATACCGCGCTGTCGTACCGCAGCATAAAACGCTTTGCTGCAGCAAGAGAATTATTTTTTTCTTATATAGTTGTCCTTTTTTTTGTCTGCTAATAGCCATTGGCCGGAAAAAGGCAGAAATAGTGTTAAAGAAAAATCTTTTTACTCTGCTGAATACCAAACGAGCTGAATTTCATATTTACTAGCGTATTCCTATAGTTGTCTCTCCTTGTTTTGCTTCTAAATAGTGGTGCCACATGGTATGCGTTTTATTTTAAGACAACCCATTTTTCGATTATTTGCATGTTTAATATATTTATACCAACTTCACACGGTAGTTGAATTACTTAATTCGGCCTCTGAATTAAAAGAGCCAATTAACCCGTTTCCACTACGCATTCGTAATTTGTTTTGGCAGTTCATCGCCATGTTGTTTTCTAATACATTATTTTGTTATTATACCCTACACCACTATAGTGGGGAGGGTATTATGCGTTTGTGCTGATGTTTGTAACACCCAAAAATATTGGTCCTACACCCACCTTAAAGTATACCAATCGACTCAGAATCACTTCCTGAGTCGATTAAGCTATGTCCGTCTGTCCGTCCGTCCGTCCGTCCGTCTGTCTGTCTGTCTGTGTGTCCATGTAAACCTTGTGCGCACTCTACAGGTCGCAATTTTTGAAATAATTTGATGAAATTTGGAACATGCACTTCTCTTGGCCCAAGGACGAACGCTATTGAAAATGGTTGAAATCGGTCCATTATTTCACCTAGCCCCCATACAACCGGACCCCCCGAATAGGGCTTTTGACCTCATAATTATGTTAAATGATCTGCTATCTCTACAAAAATTGGAAAAGTTTAGTTTTATATATGTCTTAATAATGGTAGTGATTTTCGTAAAGATCGGGCATTATTTGACCCTAGCCCCCATACAAAGTCCCCCTCAGAAAATGACTTGAATGTCCACAATTCACTTATAAACAGTAGTATCACGATGAAATTTGGCACAAATGAGTTTTATATAAACATAATTCCCAACAATAAATTTTATAGGGATCGGACTAAGTTTTACTCTAGCCCCCATATAAGTGGACCTTCCGGTTTGGGCCTTTTAGCTCATAACTTTGTCAAATATACTACTATCTCTCCAAAAATCGCCACAACTAAGTTGGATATAATTATAAATAACTCTGTAGATTTTTATAATGATCGGGCATTATTTGACCCTATCCCCCATTCAAAATCCCCTTCAGGAAATGACTTGAATGTCCACAATTCACTTATAAACACTAGTATCAATATGAAAATTACCACAAATAGATTTTATATAAACATTTTATATAAAATGTCGACATTAAATTTTATAAGGATCGGACCAATTTTTGCCCTAGCCCCCATACAACCGGACCTACCGATTAGGGCCTCTTAGCTCATAACTACGATAAATATACTAATATCTTCCCAAAAATTGGCACAACTAAGTTTGATATGTAATTATAAAATTTATGTAAAATAAAAAGTAATTTTGAATATAATTTGTTAAAATGTGTCACATACTATTCTCTGGATCCACTGACGATGGCTGTTGAAAATGATTGAAATCGGTCTTCTATTTTTCCTAGTCAGCATACAACCGAATATGAACAGACATTATTTGGAACCTGTATAAGATTAACAGAAATGCTTCATTATTGAAATTAATCACATTTAATGTTCGCAATTGGTGTAGGGTATCATATGGTCGGCCACGCCCGACTATAATTTCTTACTTGTTTTTTTTTTTTTTTTTTGAATATTTGTATGTGCATGATATAAAAATAGGTTTGTTACACTGTTTTAACAAATTAAGTAATATATTTTCTATTTATTTGTATTTTTTGTAATTTGATTTGTCAACCACAAATGAAAACAAACAGCTGATTATGATAAATACCCGATGGCAGTCATTAATTTGTAATTCATAGGTAATTCAAACTGAACTTGTGTAATTCGCAGCTGAAATTTTGTATAGCCAATCATGTAATTCAATTTGTAATGGGGGGTTGAATGACAAATGATAGCGTGAATCAAGAATAATTGCATCTTTTTAGATAGATATTGGAATTAAAAAATTAAATATTAGAATGTTTTACATAAAATAAAATTTTAAGATTTTGATGATTCGGTAGGAATAATATATGTTTTAACTGATATTATACTGATACAGTATTGTTCGAAACAAAAGCAACTTTTTTGGAATTTCATGAGGATTGGTGCTTATTTTCTATTTTAACAGAAGTTTAATTCCATTTCGCTGTCAGTTACAAGAAAATAATAACTGAATTAACTCCATAAATAGATGTTCGAAACTTAAGCAACTTTTTGATCTTCTTATGAAAATCCTTGGCTTTTTTGAGTTCCAAATACCTTTATGGTATAGATTAGTTACTAGTGTAGTTCGTAATGAATCCCAATCGGATTTTAAGTCATTCGCGAGCTGCAATATTTTTTAAAACTGCAAGTTTCGAACCAGCGTTTCAGAACACCGAACAGCATCTCTAAGGGAATTCAGTCAGAAGATTTTGATGCACATCAAATAATTTGGGTCCTATTACCCGATAACTACTCTTAGATCAACTTTGCCAAAAGTTTTGGTTCATTATCAAGTTAGTTAGTAAAGTAAATTGTTCTGTTCGGTGTATTCAATCATATGATTCATTTTGTTGGCCAAAAACGTCACAGAAAGAAAAACAATCCAACTTTGTTTGTATTTCAACATCAGGACTAAATCTTCTCTTCAAAAAACAAGGCCTCAGCCTTAAATTATTGCTCCCCATTCTTTATTGGGCCTTTACTAAAAGGGTATGTTATAATATTTCCTTCAGCCTTTAAGCCTCGCATACTCTGTCTAAACGTAAGAAGGAAAATGTGGACCTGTTTGTAAATAAAACTGGTTTTTATTAGTCTTGCATAATCTATTTCAATATTCTACCAAAAATTGTACAAAATTTGTGAAAAAAATCGAATTTCTTTAAGTAAACTCTGTTCCATGTCACTTCGGGATTCATATGCAGTTACATCATCGTACATTAAAGACTTAAAAAAGCATGGAGGTCAAACAATTAAGGTTGTGGTCAAGATTTTTGGTGAGTAGAGTAAAGCTATGTATACACGGTCTTACAATGTTGGCAGTAAAATGTGCAGAAAATATTTAACAACGGTGTCAATTTACAAATTGTATCTTGCAATATTGTCAGTAATGCTTTTTCTGACAACGTTGCAAAAGAAAAATTGCAAGTTCACACGATTGTTAGACATTTTCTGCACATTTTACTGACAACGTTGTAAGATCTGAGAACCGTGTATACATAGCTTTACTCTACTCACCAACGTCTTTGCCAAAATAAAAATTGGTTTTATTCTGACGTTTGACATTTTGGAAATGCCTATACCAAAATAGAGTTTTTTCTACTTTTTATTTAAATTTTTCAGAAAATGTTATAATCTCTATAAATTATCAAATATGATATCTATAGGAAGTAACATCGAAATATTGTAGAATATATACATATAAAGAAATAATGTCATTTATTTATTTTTTCAAATAAAATTCAAATTTAGCATTTTTGGGTCAAAAGACCTTAATTAAAACTCTATATTGTGTCAATTTTTCATAAATATCGGATCAGAACTTTTAAAAATATCGAATTTTTTAAATGTGTTGTATTGGAATTTAAAATTTTAAAACGTTCTTGAAAAGTACAAAAAATCTAATATATAGGTACATAAGTATACATCAAAAAACCAAAATTTTTGAACAGAAAAATGTTGATATTCAGAAAAGGCATTTTTAGCAAAGCCAGTGTTTGATATACTCCAAAGGAGGAAGTTCCTGAGCACGGCCAAAGGGCGGATCTTCAGGATATGTGAATATAAACAGTTTGGGGAATTGGGTATAACTCTCCAATTTTGAAAAAAATACCACTTTTAGACCTTTTGATTCTATGATTTGTGATGCCTTTTGGTCAACAAATTTTTAGTTTTGGAGTTATAGACCTTTTAAGTTTTTATATACATATATTATCAATATCTTCCCTATTCATGATACGATTTTTTACCGTTATTCTTTTTTAATATTTGAATCGAAATTAGTAGGCTTTTTACTCTTTACAAAACTTACCTATTATTATTTAACATCTATTCAACAATTCTTGTTTTATACTTCTCTCGCTTTAACTTTATAGTGGCATCATTTACGATAATCGTTATTCAGCTATTTCTATCACATAAGTAGAATAGAGACCAATAATATACTATAGAAAAAGGCAACTATACAGTTAGCAACACATATTTATAATACTACACGAAGAGGGAAAAAAGCACGATGCAAATCAAAACAGTTGGAAAAGAACAAAAAGAGGTTCACACTTGTTCAATTTCAATGCTATAAACTGCAATTATTTTTTCGCATATACCGATTTAACAAAAAAAAAACACTGCACTGAAGTAACTTCATAAAATTGTAGAAAAAATACAAAAGAACAACAAAAAATAACTGTGATTTCAAGAAAAATATTTTGTGTTGATTAAAAAAACGCAATTTTTTTAAAAGAAGAAAAACTAAAACAAACATTAATATTATAATTTTTTTTTGCCATACACAACTACAAAGAAAGAAACAGAAGAAAAACGCAACTTTTGCAAATATTTTTAGAAGAAGAAGAAAGAAGAAGAAAAAACAGCAGACGACGAATTCATACGACAAAAGGCGACGACAGACAACACAAGCAACTACCACACATAGCACGAGACGCAGAGAAGTGAAGGGGAATAAAATATATAAAGAAGTAACGCCAAAAATATTAAAAGTATAATTATTTTAAACAAAATTAAATTAAAATTCGTTTGAAGTAGTTAACGAAAATAATAGAAAAATAGTTTAAAAATTTATTACAAAGAAGAAATTGTGGTAATTTACATTAAGTGTGCTGAAGAAGTAAGAAGAGGAGTAGTAGTATAAAGGAGAACCTGCAGAATTAAATAAATCCTTTAAAAGTCTACAGAGAAAAATATAAAATTAGCCACAGCCTTAGTGTTTTTTCCACAAATATTCATCTAAAAGCAATAATATCCAGTGCTTTATTAACAAAAACGGTAAGCAAAAATGTTTATTCACTTTTTCTCTTTATTGAATTATTCTTTTGGCAAACCTTTCTCGTTTTATATAAAACAAAATACAAAAAAAGAAAAACATGCGGTTATATTCTCTTTGTTGTAATAAAGTTATTTATTATATTTTCGTCATGAAATTTTGTCATATTATTAAATAAAGTTGAAAATTTTCAAATTTGTATATGCAAATTTCTTCCGGCTTAACATAACCTCAAATTTTTGCAATGAATTTGTTAACAAAAAAATGTTGCCGAAAAAACGTATTTGTACCTCTTTTATTCCCTTTTATTCTATTCTTCTATATTAGATTTTTCTTTGATCTTACATTAAACAGAAGCAGAAAAAAGCACGCACTTTTTAGGAGCCATAATTTTTTCATTCCCTATTTTGTTTTATTCTTCGTTTGCTATTTTTGTATGAGTGGTTGCATGTGTTTGCTTGTGTATGTTGCTGTTTAAATTTGTTTCTTTCATATTTTCTTTTGTTTCTTGGTTATTCAGCAACATACCTTTTTTCTTTTATATACATACATATAAATAATAGAAGGAAAAAGGAAGATTTTACAAAATATTAGATATTTGTTTCATCATAACTTTTATGAAATAAATAATATGGTATTTAATTTAGTTATTTTTTCAAATGTTTTTCTTTCCATTGTTTTACTTACAATTGTGAAATTTGTTTGTACCTATACAGTGATTAAAAAAAGTAAACAACTACTTTATCAATTAAAAGAAACTATGTAATAGGACAAATAAAGCTGACGACATTTCGCCTTTTTGCAATTTATGAAAAGTCAACTTTTCACATGTGGGAATGTTCGATTTTTCGTTTTTTTTTTTTTTTAATATCGACTTTTTCCATTTTTGTCAAATTGATTTTCTTAAACTTTGTTGCTGCAAACATTGGGAAACTGCAAACTTTGTAAAGAAGATATACAGTGTCACACATAATTATTCGAATTTAGGTCTACATACATGTATGTACTTTGAAAAGAAACATAATTTAATATTTTTTGTTTGAATGTACACTAGGAATAAATGATTAATTTTTGAAAAAAACATCGGATTTTGGTCGAGACGGCGCTCATTCATCTCTAAATCTTTTCACACAAACTAAAACGCTGTACTTTTTAAACCCTACATCACTATAGTGCGGCAGTATTATTTGTTAGTGCACATGTTTGTGAGCAACATAAAGTTTGTTTCTAACACACGTTAAACCGATTGGGTATGTAATGAAGGGTCTATGTTTGCCTTCTTCCCAATTAATAAAACTTCATTCAGAAAATTTGTGTTCGTCAATAAATGCTTTGTTATGAAAAAATCACATTCGGCATAAATATGGTGTTACCGAATTCTAAAACGATATTTAGTATCCTTTGCAAATAACACTGATGCATTTACGTTAAATAGTACATATAAAAGAAATTCTGGGAGATATTTGAACTAAAAAAAAACTTTAAGAAACACTTTACTCTGTCCATAGTTATGGATGTATGTACGTTTTCTTTGTATGTACACTACCTATATCCAGTGTGCTTTGCTACCCTAAAAGCAATATAAATAAAAAAACCCACTTAACGATTTTGAAGATTCTTACTACAATGGTTTTTCACATATACAATTTGTTACATATGAGAGAAGCCACGCAAATTATTGCAAGTTCGCCAATTTTCCCGAACGTTAATCAAGATTTTAATGTAATCTTTGAAAAATTTTTATATTCTATTAGTTTTCCAGATAAACGAAATTTTGTATTTAATTCATATGGAAGGTGCCAAGCCCCCATTGAAAGACTCCCCGTTATTCTCAAAATGTTCACATGAATATCAAAGTTCTTCATGTAAAATTTGAAGATTCCAGCTCTAGTAGTTTCTCAGATATACGAATTTTTCTGTTTAATTTATATGGGGGCTTCAAGCCCCCCAGATGAAAATCCTCCCTGTTTTTTTTACAAAATGTTTAGATGAATATTAAAGTTCTTCTTGCAAATTTTGAATAACCCAAAATGTTTACATGGATGTTAAAGTTCTTCGTGCAAAGATTCTAGTTGTAATAGTTTCCAAGATCAACGAATTTGTGTATATAATTTATATGGGAGGTGCCACGCCCTCTGCAGCTAGTGTCCTACTTTTTATCCTAAATAATCATATTGACTGTAAAGTGGCTCCGACAAAATTTGAGGACTCTAACTGTTATATTACCTCAGATACACTGATTCAACATTTTCTTAATATGGTCGTGGCTCCTCGCCCACTTGAAATTACAAAATAAAAAGTAGCCTATAACCTCTTCCGGATATACGGGAATACACTGTGCAAATTTCAAGAAAATCGGTTCAGCCGTTTAGTAGTCTATAAACTTCAAATATACAAACATACAAACACACATTCATTTTTATATATATATACAGTGGTGGCCACAATTTTAGCATACTTGGAATATGTTGCATATAACATCAAATATTTCCTATTGTTCTTAACCTTTTTAACAAATTATTTTATATGCGTAACACATGTCCTTCGAGAATCGCGGCATATTACGTTTTGTTCCACTACTTTGTTGCGTATAGATTTTTTCTTTCCAAAGTACATCTACCTCCAAAAAAAATCTGGACATAAATTTAGCACATCATAAAAAATCATTAAAAAATTAAAAATAAAACAAAACAACCGGCTATATTTATCTAATTTGACTTAAAATTTTATATTTTGTAGAATAGTAGCAGATTTTGATAATATCATTCCTTCTCCTGGACATGATCTTCACCAGAACCGTCTAGAAATTTCTTGACATAAATTTTAACTTTCAGGCCATAAATTGGCAAAATTCTTGGGGATTTCTGCTTTTATTTGTTAGTCCATATAATTTTATATGTTATCTATTGAATTGGAATCGATTATTTATACTGGGCACTGCAAACATGTCGATCCCGCTCGATTCCAAGCAGCTCATCTCAGCACTTTTAGCATATTTACGGTCGTTATCGACCAAAAAACGCTATTTAACTGAAACTTTGTCCTCTAATTTTTTACTAAAGTATTTAAGAGCCTATTTTGATAGACATACGAATCCATTTCTGCATCCAACATCAGTATCGGACCAACAGCACGCCAAGAAAATGCAATGGAAACCATCAAATTCCCCCCATTGTGATATATGATTTCTCAGGTACACTTTAGCTTTATCTGCAAGATTGGAGGATACCAATTAAAATTTAATAGGATCAAATTTGATGGAACAATGTACTTATGCTGTACTCCAAACCAGCGTTGCCACTCACAATTTATTTTTCTTACCAAAGTTCCGACAAAAAACTACCAAAACGTTCCAAAAACTACCAAATCATACAATGATTTGTTCCAAAGAATCAATGATTTACTTTTACTTAATTAGACAAAATTTCCAAATAATTTGGTACTATATAGTTATGAAATACATAATTACTGTTTTCGACAAAATTTGTACCAAAATCATTCCCGAGAAATTCGGTGGCGTTTTTAGGGCGTAGTTTAGGTTTTATACTCATGGTGGATGCACAAATTGATCAGTATGACCACCAAAATATGGTCTTAAATATTTGAGTAAAAAAATTAAGACATGTTTGTAGTGCCCAGAATAATTTCTAGATCCCAATCCAATAGAAAACATATGAAATGATATGGAGCAACAAATAAAAACAGAAATTCCTAAGAATTTTTCCAATTTATGGGCTGAAAGTTAAAATTATGTCATGAAATTTCTAGTGGGTTCTGGTGAAGATTATGTCCAGGAGAAGAAATTATATTATCAAAATAAGCTATTATTATACAAAATATAAAATTTTAAGTGAAATTAGATAAATTTATCCGGTAGCTTTGCTTTATTTTTATTTTTTTAATGATTTTTTTATTTTGTGCTAAATTTATGTCCAGATTTTTTTGGGGGTAGATGTACTTTGGAAAGAAAAAAGTCTATACGCAACAAAGTAGTGGAACAAAATGTAATGTGTCGTAATTCTCGTAGGACATGTGTTACGCACAAAAAAGAATTTATTAAAAAAGTTAAGAACTATAGGAAATATTTGATTTTATATTTAACAGATACCAAATGTGCTAACCTCATGGCCGCCACTGTAGATTTATGGACATATGTACATAGTATGTATGTATGTAATTCTCACTATGAGTTTCACATTTCAAACACAAATTTATGCAATAACATATGCCATTTTCATTATGATGTCCAGTTTAGTTCATTCGTAGTTGTTATTGCTGTACATATGTACATACATATGTATGTATGAATGTATGTAATGAACAACAGAAAAATATTTTTTACCTAAATTACTGTCAAAGGATTACCCACATTTAAGAGCAGCTGTTGTTATCATTTTCTTTAAGTAAAATAAAACAATTAGCTAAAGACTATTCAATAAAGCCTATATACAGGGTTCTTTAAATGGAAATGTATTTTGTAATGATTATGTTGAGTCTGGAATTTTTTTACTTGGGGAAAAATTATTTGTACGCCCACATTTCTACCATGAATTCGTCCATGATTAGTTTTTGTAATTTTTGAACCGATTTACAATATCTATAGCAAACCACTTTTTCAGTATTTTATATTTCATAATAGATATCTACAATTCGGAAAATATTAAATATTAAAATATACGGGGGTTATCCCCCGTATTCAGTATCTCGGATGGAAATTTTATTTACAAAATTTGTATGAATATTACTCAATTTTTAAATATTTTTTTAGTGCTTTTCATACAAAATTTGAAAATAAAATTTCCGTCCGAGATAGTAAATAGTAGCTGAATCAAAATCTCTTTTTGAAAAATATTATGACTGGGATTGTTTGTTTAAATTTATTTTTGCATATAATAAGTTGTGTTGCATTGGTTATGCCCACAACCTTAACCCCTGACAAGTCTTTTTACATACATATGTATGTATGTAGGCTCTTGTTTAGAGTAGGTATAATTTTTGTCTCGAAACTTGTTTAATGAAGCTTTGTTGTTGTTCAAATTGTAGTGATGTTTATGATGACGCATTAAACATATAATTTTTCTATAGTGCAGTGCTTTTACATGATTAAATTACATTTAAAGTATGTCACAGCAAAATTATTGTTTCTTTGCATACAAATACCATAAATTCATATCGAATTTCATAACAAGGAATGGTCTCAAATGAACTTTTATAAACTGGATGAATATTTTAAAAATATTCTTTTTAGAAGTGATAAGTTTGATCGAACAGAGGCAGGCTCCTTGAAACAATACATTTTTTTATTCCAATTTATTTATACATTATTTCAAACCCTGTACATATGTATATAATTGAACAAAGCTCCCATCAAATAACATTCGAATTTTTAACTGTTTATAAGCTTTTGAAAAATATATGTATATTATTGTTAATTTTTCTTTTTAAATTTTAGCTTCTTAGCCAAACACATTAGGTTACGGTTTACAATAGAATATATTCTATTCTCGAACAAAACAAAGAAAATAAAAACTTACTTGCATATTCTACATTTAAATTTTCATACTACAGCGAGACAAAAGAGTAAACATCCCAACTGGCTCCGTACAATCAAAACGTCAACACGAAATCTCTAGATAACGAGCAAGTAGAAAACGAAATGGTAATGGATGCAACTCAACCCCAACAACCATCGCCACAGTCGGTTGGACGTGAATTTGTCCGCCAATACTATACATTACTGAATAAGGCACCCAATCACTTGCATCGTTTCTACAATAATAACTCATCGTTCATACATGGTGAATCGACCCTTGTCGTGGGCCAAAAGAATATTCACAATCGTATTCAACAATTGAACTTCCACGATTGTCATGCAAAAATCAGTCAAGTTGACGCCCAGGCAACATTGGGCAATGGCGTTGTCGTTCAAGTCACCGGAGAGTTGTCAAATGACGGCCAACCTATGCGCCGTTTTACTCAAACCTTTGTGTTGGCTGCGCAGTCGCCAAAGAAGTACTACGTGCATAACGATATCTTCCGTTATCAAGATTTGTACTCGGATGAGGAAGTTGACGGTGAGCCACGCTCTGAGAATGACGAGGATCATGAACAACAACAGGTGCCACAACCATTACTAGGTGGTGGTCATGCAGTAGTAGCTTCGCCAGCCACTGCTGTTGTACAGGCCAATGAACAGCAAGCTCCTGTTGTAGGTGCGGTCAACGAGCCCCAAGTATTGCCCAATCCGGTTGTAGCTGGATCGACCGCCGCCACAGGTGTATTGAATCAACAGGCTCAAACTGTTTACTATCCAATGCCCGCAGCTGGAGGACGTCCTATGGCAGTTTTACCTCCACCCCCTGGTGCTGCTCCTGTCCCTATGGCTGCAAATTTCGCTAATACTACTGCTGCAGGTGTTGCTCCTCAAGCGGTCCCAGCCGCTGGTGTTACTCAACTCAACGGAGTTGTTGCTCATGAAGAACTCATAACCAACATACAACAACCCACTGTCGCTCAACAACCACAACTGGCCGCCGCCAATCAGACTCCTTCACCGGTTTTGACACCAGCTGCCGGTACTGTTTCGGTTGGTAATGCTACTGTTCTTGGTGCTCAGACTCCATCTGGAGTAGCCAGTGTTCCCGTGGCTGTATCTGCCTCTGCCGCAACTGGCCTGCCCCAAAATCCAGCATCAGCGATACCAAATTATCAACAATCACCTCTTATGCCAACACATATCCTTCAACAACCTCAACAACAGCAGCAACAACAACCCCAGCAACAGTTACCGAATACACCTTCCCAAATGCAACAACAGCCACAGACTCTTCTCCAACAATCGCAAACACCACTAAGCGCCGGCACAAACATTACCGATGTTGAAGATACCACAATCAACATGTCGTCAAATGCTCCTCCCTCTTTAACCGAACAACAACAGCAGCAACAGCAACAACCATCCCGCCCTAATACAGCCGCTAATGTTGTCGCCAGTGGTCAAACAGTCGCTTCCTCAGCATCAACCGTTCTTGAACCAACTCCCGCTCCCGTTGTTGAAGATTTCAAGACAATCAATGAACAGCAACAACAAGAGAAATATGAAGCTGCAAAGCAACAACAACAACAGCAGAAAACATATGCCAATCTCTTTAAGTCATCTTCCCCCAATAGCTTTGTAAAGGCCGCCATGCAACAACAACAGCAATTGCAACAACAACATCAGCAACAGCAACAACAACAGCAGCAAAGTGTCGGTAGTATGTACCAGCAGACTAATTCTTCGAATATTTCATCATCAAATACTTACTCACAATCGGCCAGTTCAACCAGCTCCACGATGCCAGTCTATGGTAATCGCAATAACGACAACAGCTCCTCAACAATGCGTCAGGATAACAATAATAGTCAGGGAAGTGGTGGTCCATTGCCTCAGCGTTCAAATGCTAAAGGATTCAGTAAAGGTAAGAGTGGTGGACATTTTGTTTTTGCATCTCTTGCTAGCTTTTTGATTTGCTATGTGAATTTGTTTATTATTTAGGAATTTTTGGTTTAAAATTATTTAAAAAAATGTATGCGAAATTATTAAATTTTGTTAAATTTTAATGTTAAACTTATAGATTTTGAACAACGCCGAACCAGTAATACCCAACAATTTGGAGATAGTCAACAGTTGTTTTTGGGCAATATCCCACATCATGCATCAGAGGAAGAACTAAAAGCACTGTTTAGCCGTTTCGGCCAAGTAGTCGATTTAAGGATTCTATCGAAAGGCAGTGGCAAGTTACCACCTGGGGCTAGAAACCCCTTAAATTACGGCTTTATTACCTACAATGATGCCGAGGCCGTACAAAATTGTTTGGCTAATTGTGTAAGTATGAAAAAAATGAGCAATATGTTTAGAATCAATGAAATAAGCATGATTTTGAAATCTAACCAATCGGTTTATATGTCTTCTTATTTGTAGCCTTTGTATTTCCCCGATTCAGCTGATGGACAAAAATTGAATGTTGAAGAAAAGAAACCAAGAACTCGTCCCAACGATATGCCACCACGTCAAAGTATGGGCGGAAGTGGCATGAACAACATGAACAATAACCAACGTAACATGAGTGGTGGACCACCATCACGATCATTATCAAACTCTGGCAGTGGAAGTATGATGCGTGGTAATAGTGTGGGTAATAACACCAACAGTATGTCACGTGGTGGTTCTAGTAGTGGTGGCTCCGGCGGTCCTCCACGTATGGGTGGTGCTTTTAATCGTAATGATAATCGGCCCTCTAATGGTGGTGGCAGCGGCGGTGGTTCACAAATGCGCGGTGGAAATAATAACTCACAATCACAGGGTAACAGCTACGGCGTACGACGCTAACCATTAATATTCTTCTATCATCCACAAACACCTCCAGCACCACAACCATCATTACCACCACCACCCACACAGCAGCAACAACAAGCAGTAACGGCGGCAACAGCAACAACAAATGTAGTAGCTCGTCCAGCGCTGAATTGTTATGCTAACACTACAACAATTGTAGCTACCGCAACTCCTCAATAAAAGAAAAACAAAAGCAAAACACTCAAATTTGGAAACTCTCAAAAACGAAACAAAAAAAGCAAAAAAAAAAAACAGCAACAACAGCTGAAAAAGTTACAGCAGAGTAATTAAATGTAATCTTTATAAGATGTTTCATGCCCGCGTAAGCTCCCATTTAAGCGTTCCTTTTTTATTTAAATATGTTTTTATTTACATTTATTTGTACTTTTAGTAATTTTTTACAATATTTTTGATAAATTTTGTAAAACAAAGTATTTTATTTTTCTTTATTCTTTATGTGTATTTTTATTATTATTTTTTGCCTAAGCTGCCTTTTTATGTAAAAAAAGCTGTGGCTGGAAAGCTGTTGTGAAAAAATTCAAAATTAAAAACAATCTTGTGGTTTTTCAATTTGAAAGAGAAAGAAACGTTTTTATAGTATTTATTTTTAACAAATTTTTATAACAAAATAAAATTAAAATCCCAAAAAATATATAAATGTGTATAAACAAATTATAGATGTATTGAGTTATTTTTTACACAAATTGAAAAATTGCAAGTTTGTGGTTTTAAGTAGAAGAGAGGAGCTTTTGAAGCTGTCATTTTCTTTCATTCATTCCGCCATTTATACATTTTTATATTCTAACGTTGATTTTTTTATTTTATTTTTTTTTTTTTGGTGAGAAATCCTGGTAAAAAATGTTTAATTTGAGGAAAAAAATATTTTTAATGTTTCCAAATTATTGTTGAATTAATTTTATTTTTAACAAGTTTTCTATATCATTATAATTTTGTAAATTTTTTAATTTTGTTTTCACTTTTCCATACCAAACAAGACTAAAAGCTTTTTAAAGCTGTTATTAAAACAAAAAAATATATAAACAAATAAGATACACACGGCGGCGCCTTAAACATAAATTAAAAAAAAAATAAATAACACAAAACATACATAATATTTCACTTCTCTCTATCACTCTTTATATATCTCTCTCTCTCTCTCTAGTTTTCATGTTAAGCTCTCATTTTATGCTTTTTTATAAAACAAAATTTAGCTTCATTTATTTAAACAAAGAAATCTGTTTTTATTGTCTTCTCTTTCTTATTTTTATTAAATGATATTGAAATGAAATTTTTTATTAAACTTTTTTTTTGTAATTTATAAAAAATAAACAAAAAATACATAAAAATATGATGTAATTAAAATATAACAAGAATTTTTTTTAATTTTAATAAAAAAAATTATATATATTTTTTTAAAAAAACAAAACCAAAATTTACCCTTCATTTAATGTTTTTGAAAATAAACAAAACAAATTTATAAAATGAATAATATTTACTCTACAAATAATGAATTAATTAATAAGGATTTGAGAATTTATAAAAGAAATTCTTATTCAGAAACATGATAGGTTTAGGAGAAAATCTTCTACCTTCTAATTACTTACGATCTTTATATCTTAAATACAAATCCGAACTAAAAAGCTTAGATCAATTGATTAACATTTTATTTTCTAAACAGGTCGATGTAATACCATTTTAAGCGTAAAGCAAAGAAATATTCCTTTTTGTTGGTAGTATAGAATGCAAATATACCAACTATTTTATTTCAGTTTCTTTTAAAGATGTTTTAGATTTATACGCTTTTTCTTTCGTCTTTTTAATGTTGCAAATTTACTTAAAAATAGTAAATAACAAATACGTTTGTAGAATAGTCGTTGCAGTCTATAGTAACTTAGAAAGACCTTAAAAACATTAAAGAGTTTTAAAATTAATTTTATAACAGTAATTTTATGCGATCTTCTGTTTGGATTAGAATTTGAAAGATATAAAACTAGCAGATGTTAACTTAAACTACTACACAAGAATATAAACAAATTGATGGACTTGAAATAGGTTTTACAGAAATTATGATGAGCAAAAAATGCGATACTCGCATCATAAAAATTGCTGATGAGATAAATGAGTAGGTATGTAGATTTTAATTTGTTTTATAAACTTTTTTTATTTACGAGTTTTTAAATGAAATCATCAGATTATTTGCGTCAGCATCGCAAACTAATCATCAGATGTAGTGCATTGATGCATTTCCGAACAAGCTCACACTAAAAGCAAATGGAATTTGAATAGGCTCTAAACTTAATTTTTTTAATAAACATTTTTAATGTTTCAAGTGGCTTTCCATGGGGTTACTCTAATAAAACTAATTAAGTAACTAAATAAAAGTGCAAACAAAAAAACAAGGTTTGAAACATAACCTTTAAAAACACAAAGAACACTTCAATTCTTCAACAATGAAATTCTCAAGTTCTTCTTCGAAGTTTATATTTTTGCAGAGTATTTATTATTTATAATATAATTTTCAGCTTTTTGAAATATTTAACTTTTTCTGAAACCAATTAAATGATTAAAAAATGCAATAAATTAAAAGCAAAAGAAAGACTTGTATAACTTAAAAAAAAAAACAAAAAAAACTTCGTACATTTATATATTTATTAAAAAAAGTAATAAAAAATCGAAAAAAAAATATAAAATTCATTAAAAAAATAACAAAAAATTAACTTAACGGAATTATTGTATTTAAATAGTTTTGTAATTTAAATCATTCATATTTATTAATAAAATAAAAAAATAAATTGATGCAAATCGAAATAAACTAATTCGATTATTTTGTATTTGTATCGAATTATTCTATAACTCCCAATACACACACAAACACATAAACCAACCAATTTATTAAAACAATTCACATGGTTTCTAAGAAGAAACAAAAATTAAATAATATTAAAAAGAATTAAATCCTTATAATCAAGAACATTTTCCAATTGTAAACCAAAAACAAACAACAATAGAAATTCATAAAAAAGGTGTGTAGTAGATGTATTATTGTTAAGATACTTTTTATTTTTATGTCGCAACAAAGAAAAAGTACATATCGCTTATTTATTATAAGATGGGCATAGTCCAACAAGCGGATTTTTTGTACTGAGATCTACAAAACATGCATCTCACTAAAGTCTTTCATCTAGATTTATCTAATATCAAATATGTCTATTACTTTCGGTGTGAGATCGATTTAAAATGTCATTAAACATTCAAAACCATTTTTCTTGAAACGACTTTTTTTGTATTAAGCCAATTTTGAAGTAAATGAGCGATATGTACATAAGTTATAAGTTGTTTTTTTTTCACTTTTCAGAAGAACGTTTTAAAGTTTTAAACAATTAAATACGTTTTAAATTTAAATAAAAAATTTTAGAGATCACATTTAAAAATTTCGATATTTTCTAAAGTTATCATCCGATTTCTATAAAAATTTATACAACATATGTATGTAGTGTTGAGCATAGAGATTTTAAAATCATCACGTGTTTTGCTTCTACAGAAAAAGTAAAAGAATCGAAGTGAAACTACTTTCGGTATTTTAAATGAAATTGAAAATTGTTTTCAAACGATAACACAGGCCAACAATGAAAACGAATTTTAAACAGTTTTTACTAATCCCAGTATTATGAAAACGAATTTTAAACAGTTTTTACTAATCCCAGTATTATTTGGTGTGCCGAAAATGGAAATAAATAAATAAATAAAAGGATCACCCGCCAATTTTCCACATTTTGATCTTTTAGTCCTCATGGCTGTATACTTGTGTCCCAAATATTCAATTCAAATCGGTTAAAAATTTTAAAAGTTATTATAAATTCCTTACAACATTTAGACTGGGTTTTACAGTTCTCACTAAGGAAAGAAATGTTTGAGATTTTCAAACTTACTAGAATTTTATTCCTTAGTGTGATCTACATATAAAACCATGTTAATCATGGAAAGGAAATAGAGGAATAAATAAATTTACCCCTATTCTGCATTTCGATTACGTTTGCGCGTTCAGTTACGCTACGATCGAAAATTGGTATTCCAACAAAAACGGAATCATAGAAGCAATTCCATTTTATTTCAATGCTTTACGATTGTGTGTATTCTGCATTACGATCGTAATTACGTTTTTGTAAGTTGTTTTTTTTAGTGACGGAGCTTCGAATCGAAATGCAGAATAAGGCTGATTATGTTAAATATCTCACGATAATTGCAATTAAAATTTTCAGGATTTCGTAAAAGGTAATTTTTTGGTAACACTTTTAGAAATCAGGCTTAATTCTTTACTGTTGTGCATTTCGAATAATGTTAAGCGATATTAATCGCTTATTTTAGGTTTATAACACACATTTTCCATACAAAATTCCTACAATAAACCGTCAATAGCTTTATTAAGCATTTATGAATATGGGAGTAAAAAACTAATTCACATTTTTTGTGATCTTTAGCCCTTAATGCACCTTAAGATATTAGATTTTACTTAAAATAATTTTGACTTATTTGTTTCCAAAAAGAAGAAAAATACAAATGCAAAAATTTTAAGCATAAAGAGAATATAAAAAAATGAGAGCTACATATTTAACGATATTATTACAACACTATGCATTTTAAGGTTAAACCGAATTCACATTATTTCACTCATTTTAAAACCGAGTAAATAAACCTAGTCGCAAGTTAATCGAATGTCACACTGGGGCTATTCGAAAATATTTACATTTTAATGTGTTTTATGCATTAAATGTTCCTTAGTTTATTGCCATAAGCTTCACAAGTTAATCATCAGATGCAGTGCAGTTATGCATTTCGGAATGTTAATGATTAGCAAAGTTAAAATGGGGGTCGTATCGATATCGAAGAGAAGTCTCGATTTCGCCTTCAGGTTTACTGTAATTTTGTTACCAGATTTCAGTCAAAATTATTTAAATTCTTTGACAGCGAATGTTAATTAACCCTCTGGGACGGACGTGGATTTTTCATAACTATTTTACTAACGTGGTATCTTCCAGATCCATTTTCTGAAAGCTTATATTTTCTAAGATCTGATTTTTAAACCTACTAAGAAAATTTCGGTTTATAGTTAAGGGTGTAGGTTGTTATTTATTTTCCTGTCTGTTCTGTAAACCGAATCTGAGTAAATTTCTCGTTTAAAAACAAATTCCCACAATTTTTCTCTTTTTAAAACCGAGTACACAAATCTAGTCGAAAGTAAATCGAATGCAATTCTTTTCTAATAAATGATTATTTTTTGAGTTTTTAATACAATTGTAACTTAATATAAATGCTATCTATGGTCATTTTAAATCCTTTTTAATTTAAAATGTTTTTACTATTCTGAATTTAACGTTCAAATAAAAATTCGATTTGCATAACACCAAATTCGGTTTTGAAACCGATTCGATTTACAGAACAGACATGTATAATTTTTTTTTTTTAATTTCGACACAATAATTCATGTTAAACAGAGTTTGTTGACAGGGTACTAATTAAAAATCTAAATTTTCTGATTTTTTTGGTGTCTGCTAGACTACCTCGTCAGTCCCAGATGCTTAAGACCAACATTCAACACCTTTTCTTTTCAGATACGAATGTTTGTATAACATAAACATCATCAAATTTAGTCCTATAGGCAGGCACTAGTCAGAATATACAGAATCCGCTACTTTTTTCGAAATAATTTTGATCAAAACTCTTTAATTACACAAACTAACAACAGATTTTTAAATCAGAGATCAAAGTTTACTTTTCTAAGGATTGAACTGTACTGTCAAAAAAGTAAGAAGACAGATAAGAGAACAGACAAAATCTCGAAAACCTGATTCTGAGGACAGATTAGGATTCAGTGCTGCTCAATCAAAACCAGTAGAATAGTATTTTAGTAAAATGTAAAATTAATTACATACACAATTAATTACATACAAATTTCAATTTCATTTTAAAAACTGAAAGTGAATTCATTCCGAAAGAATTTTTCTTTTCCTGATGAAGCAAAAATATGAAAATAATTCCAATGTTGATCGGAATGGAATTCTGTGACAGGCCTGTATGTAACAGGAGTTAGTTTTACAATATTCACCCATTTTTAAATATCATTACCGAAATAAATCTAAATATCGTTATCAACTTCACCAACTCAATGAAAAATAATCGAGAAACTGGTTCTAACTAGTCGGAATATTTAGGATGTCATTTTAGCGATATTGAACGAAACTGAATTCTATCAAATTCAAAAAATTAATATTAAAAACCTACTTTCTTACACAGCAACATAAAATTTCAATATAAATTTTTACAAATTTTTTTTAAACAAGCTACCACCACTCAAGAATGTAGTTCATTAAAAACAAAGCAAAAAAAAAATAATAATAAATAAACTAAAAAATCATTTAAATTAAGCTAAAATAAACAAAAAAAAAACTACTAAATATAAAAAATTTAAAAGCTAAATTAATAAACATTAACATTAAAATAAATATTTTTTATTTAATTAACAAAACTTAGAGTTAGTTTAACAAAAGTAAAAAAAGTTAATTATAAAATTAAAAAAAAAACGTAAAAACTTTAAGTAAGCAGCAGGTTGATACATAAATTATAAAATTAAATATTTGTAACAAATTTAAATTAATAACTAAAAATATTAACAACATAAAAAACACAAGAATTTAAAGTTCAAAACTAAAAAAAAATAAAAAAATAAAAAAAAAACATAATTTATGTTAAGGTAAAAAAAAAACGGATTATTAACTAAGACTTTTAAAACATGACATGAAATCTTGTCTAGTTTTCACGTTATTGGATTCTGGATAAAATTTCATACATGTAAAAAAATATTTTTTATTAAAATATTAATTACTTTTCAGCGTGTGCGTTTTTATATGTATATTTTTTATAATTTCTCTAAAATTATCAAAATTTTTTGTTTATTATGTTTTGAGTTCTTACAAAAATATCTATTTATACATTATAATAAAAAAAAATCAACATAAATTTAAAATATAAGTAATATACATAAAACAAATATTTATGGAAAAGAAACGAATAATAAAAACAATAATTATTTAAAAGTAAATGTTTTGTTTTTTTATTTTAGAAATAAGTTGACGGTTTAATTAAATTTAGTGATGTCGAATTAAAAGAAAAACGAACGAAAAAAACTCGCCTATTGTCAATGATTATTGAAATTCACAGACCAAACTCCCTTGGAATCCTAACATTAATGTACCGAGTGTATGGACCTGTTCGGAAATACTTCAGACCCTATATCGTTACCTAAAACTCAATAAGCTCTAATTTTTGAAAAATTTTGAATTAATTCTTTTCACAAAAAAATAGAATTGAACGGAATTTGAATCAATTCAAATGAATCTATAAAACGAATTTCAATCCATTTCCAATTTAAATGAATTTGTTAAAGTGATTCGTTCGAATTGATTTCATTCAAATCAATTAGAACAAAGAATTCCAATTCAAATAAATTAAATCAAAAATAAATTGCAATCAATCAATTCAAGAGCTGATCTAGAGGAAATGAAAAAAAACGGAAATTTCTCCTACCAAAATGTTCAAAACACAATTGTGTAAATATGTAATATTTAAAGTTTCAACTTACAAACAAAAATTGAAATTTAAGCCATTTAAAATGAATTTGGTAAAAATGAATTGCAATTCACTTTGTCAAATTCATTTGAATTAGAAACTAATTGCAATTCCTTCTACAAACTCATTTGAATTCGAAACGAATTGCAGTTTATTCTACAAATTCATTTGAACGGGAAATGAATTGCAATTAATTTTAACCAAATTTATTTAAATTGACACAAATTTTATTCAATTAATTTTTTGTGTAAAAAGAATTCATTCAAATTTTGCAAACTCAATGCATGAATAGTTCGTGAATTAATACAAAAACGAATAATTCATTTACAGCTCTGGTATGTATATATTGTTTAAATCGAATCAAACTATACCTTTCTAAAGGACAGAGCCTGCTTGATACATACAGGAATGTCACACATTCCAATCGTAATAGTTCCAATTCTGTGTTCATCCCTATTCTGCATTTCGATTACGTTTCCGCATTAAGTTACGCTACGATCGAAAATTGGTATTCCAACAAAAAATGGAATCTTAAGAAAAAGAAGAAGCAATTGCATTATATTTTTATAGTATAGACAGACTATACTATATAAACTATAGACAGACTATAATCTGGACTATAGACGGACTGTAGGCGGGAATATAGGCTGGACTATACCCAGACTATAATCTGGACTATAAACAGACTATGGTCGGGACTATAGACAGAGTATAGTCTGGACTATAGAAATTTTCAATGCTTTACGATTGTGTGTATTCTGCTTTACGATCGTTACTACGTTTTTGTAAGTTGTAATTTTAGTGACAGAGCTTCGAATCGAAATGCAGGATACAAAACGGAGAAAATTTCAATTCGAATTGAAATACAAGGTTCAATAGAAAACTGGAGCCAAATTACCGCATACGTGAAATAAAGTTTATGAAACGAATTAAAATCTAAATGGTACCTACTCGTTTATCGCATTAGCCATTTTAATGGTGTGAGTTTTGCCGTTTTTTTGCGCATCATAATTTCTGTTATGCATAATTGAACGTGCTGCGCATCAGATGCAGCGCAGTTATGCATTTTCGAACAAGCCTTATTTTAGGCAAATACGTGCTAGTGTTTAAATTCGATAAAGCAGAAAATTATTACTAACTAAACTTTCTTATTAAAATAAAACACAATTTAAATTTTCATTAATTTTTTTTATTTCATTATAGTAAAAAAACAAAAAAAATGTAAAATAAGAGGTAGTAGTAGTGTAAATTAAAAAGTAATTTCTAAACAACAGACTAGAAAGTACTGCAAAAACAATAATTATTCAAAACTTACCCATCACACATATACGAAAAGCCCACAGCCCTTTTAAAGCAGTTCTTTAACATACAGCGCACCATTTTGTTCATGGGCAAAATATGCTTTTGTTTTTTTTTTTGTTTGTGTTAACAGAACAACAATATTTTGTGAAACCTCTTTATCAAGCAAGCAGCGGCAACTGCCACGCATTATGTACGTTAACGAGAAATTTGTCATGTTTGTATTTGGATTGTTGCTTGAAAGAAAATATTGAAATAATTCAAGTTTTAAAATTAAAAATCATATTTCAGATTCAAGTTAAATTTGCAACAAATTTTCTATAAATATATATAATTTTTTTTTTCTAAAGTATAACGTATATAATAAGTATGTATATGTGGCATATATAAAAAAATATACATATGTATATATTAAAAGTATATAGGGAAAAAAATTATGATTTATGTATAAAAAGAAGTAAAGTTTGTGTTTTAGATTAGTTAAAGGATTTCGTAAAAAAAAAAATAGAACAAATAACACAAATACAAGGAATGTTAATTTTTTGTTGTTTTTAAAAACGGGTGCGTAAAGCGTTAGTGTTATTATATATAATAAATTTGGGAACAAGTATATAAAGTACTCTTTTTTGGATTTTAAATTTAATAATAGCAAATAGTTAAATAATTTTTTTAAAACTATAATTATTTAACTTAAAAGTATTAAAAGAGATCATAAATATTTTAATTAAACAAATTTGAAAGTAATAGAATATACGTTATACATTAAATTGTTGTCATAAGATTTTTTTCCATTCTTTAAAATTTAATTTAAATAATATAAACATAATTTAAATTCAGTATTAAGTAATAGATTGGCAATTAAGTTTTTAAAAAGAAGCATAATTGTTGCTGAAGTGTTTTTTTCCATCGATCTGTTTTTTTTTTAATCTTTTCATACGTCTTGTTTTTCTAAGAATTTCTTTCACTCAATCTGTTTTCTTTTCCCAATATTAGAATCGATTTGGTTTCCTTAAAAAGTTTACTATCGATATTTTTTAAAGATACCAATCAATATTGATTTAGAAAAAAATTGATCGATCTGTTTTGTTTAGTAAATTTTATTATCGAAGTTTTTAGAAAATTTGATGGACGATCAAATTTTTTGATCGTTTTGATTTGCATTATAAAGTTTGTTGTTTGTTTGATTGTTTTTTAGAAAACTTTTCGATCAATCCTTTTATTAAAAATAATATTTCTTTGAATATTGACATGCAACGTATTGCAATTCCTGAAGTAGATTTGCAACAAATCATTTTTAAATCTTTAGAATAACTTATTGCCAAGTAATTATTTAATAAGAATCTAAAATTTATATATAAATACACACATTTATATAAAAAAAAGACGTGAAAGAAAAGATGCATATATACTCTGTACGTATGTATGTATACATTATATGTACATATATTTATAACTTATTTCAATATTTCCAAACAAGTAGTTGTAGTAAGTAGTAAGGTACTGTAATAAAATACATATAAAATTATGTATAGAAATAGTTAATAATGTAAAATACAAATACGCACATATAAAAAACAATTGAAGAAAAAGAACAAAAAAGTAAAAATAACAACCATAAATATTCCATTAAAATCATATACATTAATAATAATTATTATTTATATTTATATTTTATTTAATTCATAATTTATACATTATAATTATTGTTCTTGAAATGTTGGGGTAAAAAAAATGATTGATTTTATTTAATATTTGTTGGAAACACAATTATGCAAAATGTGTGTGTGTTTAGGTATGAAAAAATAGAAAGTAAAAAAAAAAACAAAACATAATAGTGTGGTAATAAAAATTATTTAAAAAAAGTAATTCATGAATGTAATTTACGCATACTTATGTATGCATTGGTATGTATGTAAAATAGTTACTTTGTTGGGCAAAAAAAAAATAAAACAAAAAATCCAGTTCAAATTTAAAAAAAAAAAAATATGTAGAAAAATTAAAATAAATATTGAAAAAAATTGACTTATATTCTATATTGAAAAAATATATGTAATATACAATATAAAATGAAAATTGCTCTTTTCTTGCTTTAACTTCTTTCTTCTTTTTCCTCTGTCCTTTATATAAAATGTTGTGTTTGTTGTATGCTTTTCCAGTTCATCAGTAGCAACCGTGGCGTTGAATTAATTTTCTCCCGCAAAAGAGGAACTTTTTTTAAGAATACTTCTCATATATGGATAGATATGGTAGGTAGTTGTTGTTCTTGTTGTTTGTAATTAAGAGTAGTTTTATAGGTAGATTGGCAACAATTGTTTATGGTTTTATCGTTGTTTGTTTGTTGTAGTTTAAAAGTGGTTGTTTATAATTATATAGTATATAATATATTGGTGATGATTAAAAGTATTTATATGTATATATTTTTAAATAAATATATAATTCATAGATTTGTCCTTTATAGTAATTTCATTCTCAGCAAATAGTGTTTGTTTTATTATGTAAAATTATCTTTAAGTTTTTTTTTTTTTTTTAATTTTCTGTGTTATCTATCTCACTCACTCAGATGTTCTTAATTATGAGATATTTTAATCTTGTTTTTTTTTTTTAATACATTCTTAAATAAGTGTTATATTTATAAATATATTTAGAGAGAGAAACATCTTAATTGCCTAAATAAAAAATAAAGAAAGATATAAATAGTATAATAAATAAAGCAATATAATAGATTAATAAATATAAATGAATAAATATATAAATTGTAGATAGATAAATTAAATATAAATATATTTTATTTATACTATTATAGATGGCCTTATAAGAAAATACGTGTATCATTAAAACTTTATAAATCGTTGTTGATTGTCGGGTGTTATTACAAAACGAGTAAACTGCTATTCTAAGAATATAAAAAACTATGAATTGTGTCTGACAGGTTGAAGTTCATTGCAATAGTTGTACTATTGACTTAAGAAAACTTTTTAGAAGAAAACTTTTCGATGGGTTAAATCAAAAATCATTCGTATCTATTTTTTTCTTCTGAAAATTCATTGATCAAGATATTTCCCTTCGTAAACTTATTTATTTTCTTCATAAACCTTTAACAGAAATTATATCTTTAGATTGTTCGTTCGATAAGTTTGATTTTGGTCAGTGTTTGTTATGAAGATATTTTGTATCATTAGTTTTTTTTTGAAAATTTTTTGCTGGTTCTCTTTTTTAACATGTTATCAGTAATTATCATTATTGGCAAATTTAAAAAAATCGTCAAATAAGATTTAGCTATAAAACTTTTTAATCAGTTTTCTTTTGTAAAAATATTCTCATGGTGAATATTATTTTGAAAAAAAAAAAAAAAATAATAAATAAATAAATAAATTTATTCTTAAAAGCTTTTCTGTTGAATTAACATTCTTTTAGAACAAATTAATTATTAATATTAATTATTTTTATAAAAAGGATTTTCGATTATCCTTCTGTTATACCAATATCTTTTTGCGATAAAAAATCTTAATTAAAAATCTCAAAAACCTCATAAAAACGATAATAAATAATAAAACCAACAATTTCATTAGTCATTCTGGTGTTAAATATAACAAATTAAAAAGTTTACATTTTATAATAATAGAATGAAACTATGTATGTATACTAAAAAGTATTTGTATGTACGTTGACATCGGCAATGATAATTTGTTTTATAAACTGCTTAGAACAGTGAAAATTAAGGCAATGAAATTAATTTTTATTCTTAAATAAAAAAAATTTTACTTATTTTATAGGAATGAAGTCCATATGTAAAATATGATATTGATGTTCTACTACCTATTTAATATGTTGTAATTCTTATCAAGTCTAGAAGTATTCTTAGTATAGATCAATAAATAATAATTTAATATATAATTTAAATATTGTTAAAATATCTGTAGAGTATTGGTACATCAATTATGTAAACGTATTAAAAATATCAATTTCATTATGTATTTATAAAGTGTTTAAAAAACGTACCTGTGTGTATTATAAGGTGTTTTTTTTTTTAATTTTACATTTTAAATCTTTTGCAAACAAGTTCATGCATGGGGGAATGTATGGATGAATGAATGTTATTTTTAAGTTTATAGACTTTTTTAAAAAGTCTAGAACGTAAATTGGATTTCTTCATACATAGAGTTAAGAAATTAATATTGTAAACGTGGCTTTTTTGCTAAATTAGTCATGGAATTATTTATAGGCGAAACCACATGCGAGCCTAGGATTAAATAAAATAAAAAAGAAAATACAATTGACAAACTTTTTTGAAAAGCGTTATTTTTAAAGCCAATTGATACTATAACGGGACATACGTTCATATGAAAAATTGAATAAGTCTAGCTAACAATGTACAAGAACTACTAAATTATTATCTATCTATCGAGTCAATACTAAAAAATATATCACAATAAACAACAGTACGTACAATCAAGTGTGGATTAAATTTATCTATAAATACAAATAGTATTATTTATGATAAACAACTTTTTTTTGTTTTGTTAGAACACCAAAATAACAGAACGTTTTATAAGAACAAAAGCAGGTATGTATTATTATATAAAAAATACTTTTCATAAAGTTTGACGACACATTTACTTATAGAGTATGTTGGATATGAAAAAAGTAGGAAATATTAATGAAACGCTTAAACAGTTAATTAACTAATAGTATAGGAAAGTTTTTTATATTCAAAATCAGATGAATAACAAAATTAAGAAAGAGAGATAGATAGAACATTTATAGAGATTAGTTTTTTTCTTAATGCTTACCATACGTGGGTGCTGCTGCAACACTATATGGATTCATACGATTACCCTGCAAACTACCAGCCTTCTGGGGACCACCATTGTAAGTCTGTTGATAACTGCCAAAGTTTTGCGCCGTATTTGTGGGAGAAGCTGCCGCTGTATTCCAACCATTAGCCGCAGGTACGGCTGCAGGAGCTACAGGAACTGCAGCAGGTGCAGCGTAACCATTTTGTCCCCAACTTGCTTGTGGTGCAGCATACGCTGTGGCATTCCATTGGGGTTGAGCAGCAGTTTGTGGTGGAGCAGCATAGGCTCCATAGGCGGCTGGCTGTTGGTAAGCTGCTTGTGGTGCTTGAGCATAACCTGTTCCCCAACCATTGTAGTTGGGAGCTGGGGCATAACCGTAGGCTGCTTGTTGATTGTAAGCCGTTGCCGGTTGTTGATAACCACCTGGCGCCGCTTGTACTGCCGATATCATGCCAATTGGTGCACCTTGTTGTTGAGCAGCTAATTTTTTAGCTTGTTCCTGTTTATAATTTGATTTTTTGACATCTACGAGAACATATTTGATTGTGTGATTTTTGTATACTAGAAAAGAAAAAAAGGTATTGTTTTTAGTGAACATTCAGATGAAATAATGAAAATGAGAGTAGTAGAATAAAAAATCTAAATACAATAAAATTGAAAATTAGAAGTGTAAATTAAGATCTATTTTAGAAAATTTTCAAATTAAAAAAAAAAACAGGCTTATTGACTTCAACCAAAGAGTCGCACTGTCAACATTTTATCAACGATAAATTCGTTTCTGATTTTGTCTGTCTTTAAATAGTAAAAAAAAATAATAACTTCTATACTTACATACTGCTTTGTCGACTGAATCATAATCATCAAATTCAACAAATGCAAAACCACGCTTACGTCCGGTATTCTTATCTGTTAATATTTTAACGCCCAATATATTGCCAAATTGTTGAAAATGTTCTTTCAGACATTGTTCATCGTGATACTCTTTAAGGCCGCCAACAAATACCTTTTTAACGGAAGAATTAGCTTCTGTGGAACCAACTTCTGGTCGTGGCAAGGCACGTTTTGAGTCGACGGTTCTGTAAGAGATTTACAAAGAAAATATTAGAAATAAATTTTATATTAGATAAGAAAGTACAAATTTTCGAAGGTAAGAATTAAATCTTTCAGAACTTTGGCTATGTATGGTCTAATAGAAATAAAATTAAGTACAAACTCTACTATGAAATTGTATTCAAAAGATGGAATTTATAAAAAATTATAACATTTCTAAATTTATGGCTATGTATATCTAGTTAAATCAATGAGCTATTTTGCGTTCTAGGTGAAATGTTATACCGATTTCTATATATTAGTTTTTATAGAAGATCATTGTAACAACACCTAGAAGTTTTTCTTCAAAATTGCCATCGATGGCCAAAGGGACATTCAAAAATTTGCCAAGGCATGTCTTCCATTGCACTAAAGTTATAATATGTATATTTTGTCAAAAATGTTCTGGACATTTCAAGAGAGTAACAAAATGGTGATCAAATTCATTCTCCCCACATCTTAGCAATAAATTATAGAAAATTTTTAAGTAGAAATTTCTAACCGATAGGCTAAGTTTATTTTGGAAATAAAAAAATAAACTGTGAACTTTGACAAAAAATAACCTCTCTTGATTTCAAGTTAAAAAGCTACCATATACGCGTGTACATAAAAAACATTAAAAACACTTTTATTGTTCATAGAGTCAGTCATAAAGATTTGACTGACGCACACATACACAAGAGAAAGTTTTACTAAATATTAAAAAGACTTAAATTTGATACAAAACGAAAAGAAAAAGAATACATACTTTCCATCAACAACATGAGGTCGGGATTCTTGTGCTCTGTCAACCATGGTGGAATCCTTGAATGTAATGAAACCAAATCCTCGTGAACGTTTTGTTGTCGGATCACGCATAATGATCACATCAATGACCTCACCAAATTGACTATAAAAAGCGCGCACAGATTCTTCTGTTGAATTGGGCGATAAACCGCCCAAAAACATTTTACGCAAATGGTCATCTGCAGGTGGTTTGGTTTGGCTGTGAAGCTAGACAAAAAAAAAGAACAAAGAAAATAACATTATTTTTTATTAATTCAGTCTTCTTCTTAATAACTGTATTCGTCATCGTGTATGGGAGGGGGTTTATGTGAGTGAGGGACTGATTGATTGCTGCTGCGGCGACCGCCACCACAGCAATCACACATTATAAACATACATAATATAATTAAATCAAAAAAGTACAAGTTTTGTTTTATGACGATGATGATTTCACCATGTTTCCTTTCTAATATCGTGTAATTTTTTGGTTAATCTATTGTTGTACATACCTGGCCATTTTCTTTTGCAGGATTGGAATTACTTTGAATTTCTTGTTTAATCATTTTGTTTTCAAGTTTATTTTAATGTTTTATTGGTTAAAATATTTATAAATTTATTTCTTTCACTATAAAAAATGTGTATACCTCTAACGCCGATAATTTTTTTATTTAAAGTGCATGTGTGTATACTTCTAACCAGAGCTCTGTGCCAACGAACATTATTTGTAACGGCGCTGACTCTATAAATTTTATTGGCGGCTTAAAATCGTCTCAAAGCCAGCTAAATTTTCTACTGCGTTTTAAAACTCTTCGATATATTTTTTTACTTGAAAATTTATGCGGCATACAGAGCCCTGTGCCGCAAATATTAACGGCGACAGCGGCTTACACTAAAAATTTCATTGCCGGCTTAAAATTGTTTCAAAGCCGGCTAAATTTTAAGCTGCGTTTTAAAACTCTGCAACGAAAAACACTTAGGCTATTCTACAAAAATGTGTTCTAAATAATTTGGAAAAAGATATGATAATTTCATTCATATAATTCAACTTAAATGTACCAGTCAGCCATGGGCAGGTGGTGCGTAAATTCGAAGATATTCGAGGCAAAGCATCACCAAGTTTTTCGCCTGCCAAATTTCAATAAAGGAAAGAATGCTTAAATGGAAATAAATTATTTTTATATTGCAGAATTCCCTAATTTTGGCGAAAGTGTTCTGCAAAATATGGCGAAATTTTTAAGCCATTCACAGGCACTGGTTTTTTCAAAAACAGACCGTTAATATAAAAATTAAGAGACATTAATGTTGAGTATTTAAAGTTTATAATACGGATGAAATTTTATGTGATTTTCCATACGTAAAGTCTAAGGTTTAGACTATGAGATTTTATTTGACGCTAAACCCACTTTAAGGTGTCACAGTAATATTTTAATTTAAAACAAACCAAAACAAGGCATTTTTAACGCCATTTTGTTAAAAATAAAATGGCTGTTCATTCGTAAACCTTTTGAAAATGCAACACTGGTGTTGTTTGAATGTTCCACATCCATTATATTCCATACCAAGGTTGTATTTGAATTTTTATTTAAAAATATATATATAATTTCTAAACCGTTTTATAAAAGAAGTTATAGCTCATTTCAACTACACTGAAATCTAATATTTATGAGATTTCGAGCAAAAACTACTATATTTTGATGTAGTGTAAATGGGATGTTATAACATTTGCAAAGATCCATTTTTTGGATGTTTTATAAAGCACTTTGCGAAATATTAAATTGGCACTCCAAACTATTAGTTTTTTTATTTTGTTAGTAGAAAATCTCATACCTCACACATATAAATATTTAAATTTTTTACTAAACAATCAAAAAAATATATAGTTTGGTTAATACAATTTGATATTTGGCCATGTCGCTTATGGAAAAACAAAAAAATACCAATTTGTTACTTATCCATATCTGGCAACTTTATGTACAATAAATACAACTCTGAGAATGTTCTACCGTTTCTTTTCCATTTCATGCCACCCTACGAGTGTCTATTTTCCGAATGCTCATTCTCGTTTAAAATCGCAAGCGAAGAACATCGTGTCTTTTGGAAAAAATAAAAAAAGTGTCAGAAAGAAATATTTTTAAGTGAATAAAGATATTAAATAGTGTAAAATAAATTTTAAAAACCTTGAAAATGACCAACCAAAACGATAGCAACAACCAAAATGATAACCAACAAAATGGCAATAACGATAATTATGATGATGTAAGTAGAGAAAATTCGTAGTTTGTTTTTCCAGAATATTCCAAATGACTTGGCTGAAAAAATCCGCCATTTTGTAATGGTCGGCATCAAGAAAAAAAATCTATAATATACATACACATTTTTTTCATATTGATTTTTATTAAACATTTTTATTTATTTTTTAATTCTTCATAGGAGCCAATTACCGAGCCAGAGCATATGCGTAAATTATTCATTGGTGGCTTAGACTACCGCACCACCGATGAAGGCTTGAAGTCTCACTTTGAGAAATGGGGTCGCATTGTCGATGTTGTTGTAATGAAAGACCCACGTACCAAACGTTCACGTGGTTTTGGTTTTATAACCTATTCCAAATCCTCCATGATTGATGATGCCCAAAGTGCTCGTCCCCATAAAATCGATGGTCGTGTTGTAGAGCCCAAACGTGCTGTACCACGTCAAGACATTGACAATCCAAATGCTGGAGCCACTGTTAAGAAATTGTTTGTCGGCGCTCTTAAGGACGAACATGATGAGAAGTGTTTGCGCGATTACTTTGAAAAGTTCGGCAATATTGTTGAAATCAATATTGTTATGGACAAAGAGACTGGCAAAAAACGTGGTTTTGCCTTCGTTGAATTTGATGACTACGATCCCGTCGACAAGATAGTGTGTAAGTAGATGAAATTTTAATGTTATTTTATCTGTGTACATACATATGTATGTATGTATATATTCGTACATTTTTATTTAAGGTATTTTGAGGTTAGGATTTATTTGATGACCTCTGTGTTTTAATTTGTTCTAATTTTAAAAATGTTTGCATGTACACAAAATGAAAGTGTTAATCCCTTTATGTATGATTTGACACATTTCCGAAAATTTAAAATGATGAGTTTAAATTGATAACTAAAATTAACCCCTAACATTGAAGTTAAACATTAAGGGTGACTTTGAAAATGCAGTAATAATGTACTTACTGCAAAGTAATTTCTGTACCCATTGAATGAAAAAATCTATGAGCGTGAATTTTTTCTAAAAAACTAAAAAAGTTCAAAAGTTGTATTTTTTTCATAAAAAAATAACCGGAAAACGTACCCTTGAAAATAAAGTCCCTGTGACTGGCCGAAGATCGGCTGTACTGAACATGAGATTATAAACAAAAGAATTACGAGTTTATAAACTAACAGGGGTCCGTCCGGGTTTGTTCCTTTAAAATTTATATATTTGTACACTAAAACATTTTTGTACAGTCCCAGCTCCGCATAAATATCTTCAATGATGTCATGCGGCGTTCTATTGACTGTTAGAAAAATTTCTGACACTGATGATATCTTTGTTAATCTTTCTTAATTATAAATAGAAAATTGATGAAAATGTCATTGTTACAAGTTGAAATAATAGTATTTTTAATAAACACAGTTTCCCTGACACAAATTGCCAAAATTCTTAATAGTTTGGTCAATTCTTTATATAAAAACAGTGAGAGAAATTAAAGCGTCGGCTTAGGCTATGTTATACGAATTAAACAAAAAACATATTCGTGGTAACACGCAGCCTCGTTACAAATTCAATAAAGATTAATTTCATAAAAAATTATCATGTTTTAAAAAGTTACCTGTACCCATATTTTATGTTCATACATATCTTCTTTGTATGTAGATCTCTTTCTATTAGAAAGTTAACGCACTGATCAATTATCTAAATTTAAATGAGCAATTTTATTATGCTTTATACAGTCCCAGCTCCGCATAAATGTGTTCAATAATTTCATGCGGCGTTCTATCGACTGTTAAAGAAAAATTATCAGTCTTTGATAATATCTTGGTTAATTTTTCAATTCTGTATGAAAAATTGATGAAAATGTCATTGATACAATATCTGCATTTAAACAACAATAAATAAATGTAAAATTTTACACAGTTCCCTGACACAAATTAACAAATTTTTCAATAATTTGATTAATTCTTTTCTATAAAAACTGTAAGATTAATTAAAGCGTCGGCTTAAGCTATGTTATGCGAATTTTAAAAAACATATTCGTTTTAACACGCAGCCTCGTTACAAACTAAATTATACAACTTAAAAATAATAAGACGCCAAAATAAACAATTATTAATTTGAAATTTGTTTAATTTTTACTTTTAGTGGAAAAAACTCACACCATCAAGGGTAAAACTTTGGATGTGAAGAAAGCTTTGCCCAAACATAGCGGTGGTGGTGGCGGTAACAATGCCGGCCCCGGTGGCAACCGTGGCGGTAATATGGGACGTGGTGGAAACATGGGCGGACGTGGTAATAATATGGGCGGTGGTAATATGGGTGGCGGTTGGGGTGGTAACCGTGGTAATAATGATAACTGGGGCGGTAACTTTGGTGGCAGCGGTGGTGGTTTCAATAACGGTGGCGGTTTTAACAATGGCGGTAGTGGCGGTTGGGGCGGTAATAATATGGGTCCCTGGGATAATGGCAACAGCGGTGGCGGCAACTGGGGCAATAATGGCGGTAACTTTGGCGGTCCTGGCAACAATGGTCCCGGAAACAGTGGAAACTGGGGCAACAATGATTTCGGCTCAGGCTACCAACAAAATTACGGTGGTGGCCCACAACGTGGTGGCAGCGGTGGCAACTTTGGTTCCAGTAACCGCATGCAACCCTATGGCAACAGTGGAAACTTTGGCAAAGGTAAGTTTATTATTTAAAAGAAAATGCAAAATTGTTTATGAACTATAGAAGCTAATTATTGTATGCCTTAAAATTTTATATAATTAAGAACTTTTACGAATATCACAGATAGTAATTTATTTGCCTTCAATCCATTTTACACAGTCCCAGCTCCGGATAAAATTCTCAATGGTTATATCCGGCGTTTCATGACTGTAAGATAAAATATGTGCACATATTATATCTGTGTTAATTAGTTTCTTTATAACTAATTGATGAAAACGTATTTGCCACAAATATATTCCAGTTATTTTTTTATAATTTTTGTTGCCTTCAAAAACAACAAACACTACAACGAAATTTTACTAATTTCAGGCAACCAAGGTAATTTCGGTAACAGCGGCGGTGGATTCAATAATGGACCCATAGGTGCCGGTGGTGGCAACAACAGAAGATACTAAGGTAAGATTTCTTAATCAAATTCTCTTGAGTTTAATTATTTTTAGTTTTTTATCAAGATGTTAGATTTTGTTAGTAATGACTTAGTGTCCGTAGTATTCTACATTTTTGTTTTTTTTTTTATTTTTTAAAGTAAACTATTTTCCTTACCAAAGAAAAAAGAACCTTTAAGTAAAGTTATCAAAAGTATTGTTAAACAAAAAATATCAAGTTGAAGTAGCAAAAAGCTAAAATTAAGAACAAGTGTTTTTTTTATAGATTTAATTTTTTAGTTTTTATTTGTTTATTTTTAACACTATTGAAAGTTTTTGATGGAATACTATGCAACTATTAACAACTTTTTATCCTTAGCAAACATTTTTAGAATAATGTTTTTTACAAATTTATTTAAAAAATATTTACAACAATATTTATTTGTTTTTATTCTTATAAAATTTTTATAGGTATTAAAAGGTTTGTGTGCCAGGTCCAAAAAATATGCATATAATTAAAAAAATACATTCAAACTCAAGTAAAACAGCAAACAGAAAATTTTACAGTTTACCTACCTATCTACCAAGTTTTTAAACATTAACAGAGAACAGTTACACTGAGAATAGTCAAACAAAAAGGTCGTCCTTCCTTCTCTATTTTCTTCCTTCCAATACCAATACCATAAACAGAAAATATTTGTTATAAAAATATTACAAAAGCACCCTCCGCAGTCAGTGTTTGATGTGTGTGAGAAACAATAAGAAGAGAGAGAGAGAGGAGTTTGACAGTTTTGTGAAAGTAATAAAAATTAAATAATAATATAAACAGAAGATCAGTAAACTTTTAAAATGAAGTGAGAGAAAGAAGCACAGGCGATGATGTTAAATTGAAATTGAGGACAATGAAGAAGCAGTTGAAGAATGTGTTGTCTAAAAACACAAAAGCAGAAAGATGAAGAAGGAGCACATATGAAAGGAACTGGAGTTATAAGATATTTTTAACAGAACACAGAAAAACCCACCCTAATAAGGTTTTTTTTAATAGTCATTTAGAAATTTGCCACCAAACTGTTGTAGACCAGTTCAAATTGTAAAAGCAAAAATACTAAAGTAATCAAAGTGTAGTATTGTAAGTTTCTTCTTTTCTTTGTATTCAGGTGTGTCCTACAAAAAGGCATTTTTAACATTATCACTACTATTCACAAATGTATTTTAACGACTAAGAAAGTAAAAGAAAAAAAAAAAAAACAGTTCTGACAAAAAGGCAATGAAACAAAGAAATACATTAAACTTAAATTAGTTCATATTTTAGTAGTCATTATATTTATACATTTATTTAAGAAATCAATTCTAGTATTTTCTCGTTTCATAATGATGAATGAATTCATAACAAAACAAAAAACATCAAGAAAGCATATTTGCACGTATATATTTTACGTGTTTTCCAATTAAAAGATTTTTCTCTAACATTTTTCTGTGTCAGTAGTTTTTAAGCATCCTAATTGTGTATAGAGATTAAGTTTAGTTTAAATCAATAATTATGTGTGTGGCAATTATATTTTACATACAAAATAATCAATATTTCCATCATAATTTGTATTAATTGCAACAAGGACAACAACAGCAGCTACATGTTTAAATATGTTGAAACAATAAACATATAGAAACAATATACATGCTGTATGTAGAAACAAAAGATCTAGAAGATGTAGCAAAAAGAGTTCTTCTCTGATAACAAAACATTGTAAATAATCAGCTGTTGTTCTTAAATTTTTGTAACTTTATATTTTTTCTTATTTAATATTTTATCCAACTCCACAACCCCAGATCATAATTATTCTAAGTTTTCTTAAAAATTGATAATTTTACTTCAATTGAACAAAAATTAGAAATAGATTTTAAAATTTGTAAGAAAAGAAACAACAAAAAGAGAAAAAATATATTATGATGATAAACATAAAGAAAAATATTGTAAAAACAAAAGAAAAACTCTAGATTATTTTGAGTAGTTTTGTGTTATTTCTTGTATTTTTACATTTATAGCGCTAGAAAAAAAAGAAAGCTGAGCTCAGCTCGCTGTCCAAGGATTATAGCAAAAAGGAGGAGTGAGACCCAGAAAACTAGAAAGAGATGACAGAAAGAGAGAGGTGTATAAGAGAGTAATATTTTACACACCTAGTTTCAATTTCTATAATAATTTTGTGTGTAAAACATGATTATTGGATCGGTCAGTTACTCTTGATTTTCTAGGTTGAAATCTGAATGTGAAGTTTTTTTCGATTTAATTCCTTTTCGAGTTCCAAATATTTTTTGTGTTATTTTTTATAGTGCTTTCTTTTATTTTTCCTCTATCTATTCTATATTCTTTTGTATTTATTTTTTAAATAATTTTATCCTTTATTTTGGGTTTCAAGTATTTTGATGGCTGTATGTGTTTCGTGTGAGAATATAAAAACATTGAAAATTGTCATGTTCTTCGTCTCCAAAACACTTTCTTCTGCAAAAGGAAGAGAAAAAGAAGAGCAAAGGCTAAAAATGATGCAATTTTGGACACTCATTGCTCTTTAGAAATTTTCATTCAAAGAAAATGTGTTTAATTTTTTGAGGTAAGTGAAAATGTATTTTTCCTTTTTAAAAAGACCAACAGATCCCGTTTGATGAAGATTGCATCAGAGCCATCGGAAAATTGATTGGTTTGGTTGGATTTGGTATTTTTTTGAACTTTTTAATATAAATATTTTTTTAATGAATTGAATAAACATTTTTTTAAATAAAATTTGAAAAATTCGTGTTTTTACTTAAAAAGAGGAAAAAATTCAATTTTGTTGCAATGCATTACGATTCCGTGTATTCTGTATTATGATCGTATCTACTATTTCTTAAGTTCCCAGCAGTTCGGTCGGGCAGTCCCGAAGTACCTATTTAAACCACCTAGCACTTAGGGTTACACCTAGCCACTGACTGCCCAGGTGACTAGCTATTTTAAAATGTGCTTGTCCTACGAGGATGTCAATCGTCACCCCATAAATCACGATAAAAAGCTTAAGTTTGTTTTTTAAGTGTCCACTCTCACTTACAAAGGGGACACTAAAGGGACGATTATCCTCGCCCTCGTTTAAAAAGAGTAAATGCAGGACGAAATACAAATTAGAGCCAACCAAGTGGTTGGTTGGTTAGACGTTAGTGAAAATCACTGTCTTTTTCGGATGCATAGACTCTGTCAAACTGCTGGGTTATTTAGTGATGGGACGTGGTGTGAATTATCCTGTCTGTTCTGTAAACCGAATCCGAGTAAATTTCTCGTTTAAAACGAATTCGCATAATTTTTCTCGTTTTAAAACTGAGCACACAAATCTAGTCGAAATAATTTTTTTTCTGCATTTTAAACTCTCATTTAAAATTGGTTTATTTTTCTGAATTTTTCCTTCAAATAAAAATTTGATTTGCAGAACACCAAATTTGGTTTTAAGAGTTTCTCGGTTTTGAAACCGATTCGATTTAAACAGACATGTATAAGAGTGTGTAAATCAATTTTTAATGATACAGGCCGAATGTTGATTTCTTTGTTTAAATGAAATACAGTTTCGGCCGGACGCTACTTGTTTTTTCTTTTCAACACTAGATGGCGGTGCCCTTTAGTTCATTCGACGTTGGTTTAACGTTTTGATAATCTTACACTCGAAGGTTTATGAACTGGCTATCGGATAAAAGTATATACAAAAATGGGCAGCAAATTTCCAAACCATCTTCCATAGACTAAAACCTCTACACATTAAAAATTCATAAAAATTATAGCATACAGCAGGGATGTTTAAAAAATATGGCACAGTGTGACAGTTGATGAAAAATAATACAAAAAAACTACTAATATGAATTTTTAATGAAAAGTAAAATTCTTTTTCAATACAAAATTTTAGTGGAGAATTTAATTTTTTAAAGAACATGATTCTTCAACGAAAATTTTATGAAAACTAGATTTTTTTGTGAAAAATCGAATTGGCAAATAATTTTTATTAATTTTTATGTGAAATATTTTGGAAATCAAATTATAAGTGGAAAATTTAATTTTCATTTTTAAAACTATTTTTTACTGAATAATCAAAAATTTTAGGTATTCAAAAAAAAAAAAAAAAAAAAAACGTAATCGCAATTCATTACGATCGTAGGTACGTTTTTCGATTCGAATGGAAATGCAGAATAGGGGTGATTATTAATATGATATTAATAATCAAATTGATTTATAATGGTCTATTCTAAATATAATGCAGATTAGGTAATTGACTAAACATAATTACAAAATTACCAAATTATTTATTCATCACTAATAATTTCGTTTCATTTGTCCAGTCTGAAAGAGTACATTTAATATATTTAAAAATTGTCGATAATTAAACTCCAAATGTATGCCACGTTGTACACCAAAACATTTAAATATCACCTCAAATTCACGACTACTAATCATATGATGCATATCACGCACCGTTAAAGCACGCATCAACTGATTCTTATGTATAGTGCCACAATTTTCACGATCGAAATCTTTGAAAACGGAACTTAAATTTGAAATCTCATCTGGTTGGCGAGCTAATTTCATAAGGGCCTGCGAGCAAATGGTACGTTCTTCAAAATTCAAGAAACACTCTACACAATCTAAATTGGCCAAGTGTAGAAGGGGAATGGCGGTGACTTCATTATCACCGGTTTGAGTTTCTAACTGTATAAAGATTTCGTCTAAAGAACGGCAAAAATCACGATATAGAACACAACAGGCACGTTTGGGAGAACGAAAACTATTGAGGAAAGTAATTTATTATAAAAACATTAATTTTTTTATTAACGAAAACTTACATATTACACAACGTATCCATTTCCTCAACCGACAACTTTATATTGGCATTGTCAATACCCCTACGAAAATCTACTTCCAGTATTTCTCCCTCTCTGTGGCGATCGTAGTCCTGCAGGAAATCTATGACTTGTATACTTTTTGTCACTGCTTGACGTTTAGCTTTGGTCAAAAGTTTTATGATATATTCTTCACTCTCTGCATCGACTTTAGGACGACTGTCATTGAGTGTGGCACAGTCGGCGTGTATTGTATTAACTGCTGATAATTTCGGTACAGCATATTCTGCCGGATCAGCATCTTCCAGAAATTTGGTATAATTAAAACCCAATTCATTGCCATAACGATCGATTAGGGCATTCAATTCGTCATTCGACAATAGTATACCGTTTGTAACAAAGATTTGATTGGCAATCTTGCAGCTCACATGACCGCAATTAAGTCTATTTGGAATGTGAGATTTTTAGGATTTTTGTTATAAAATATAATAAAAAGGATTGAACACTCGGTAATAATCAATAAACTTACTTATCGTAACTTCTAAAGAATGGATGCATATATAAACGTCTATTTCGTATACGAATTTGAATTTTTCGCAATGCTTCCTCACAAAACTCCCGCGCTGTGGTAGTAGCCTGTTGCCAATTTAAAGAACCAGACCGAGGCATATCTTGTATATATGAAGGAGGTGATTCCACTTTTAGTAATGGTGTCTTTTCCAAATACTTTACAGTGAATACTGGAATGAAGAAAAAAGGAAATTATTAATTAAAAAGATATTGTTTTGGAAAAGGATCAAAAAGGAAAGAGTACAAGAAAACACTTAAGAGTGCTATTTGTGTATGGTTGATTTATCTCTTAGGTTCCTAACGTATTTATGAGGCTTCTCGGGTACCTTAAGTAATTTACACAATATTGTGGACCAGCATAAATATGTTCATTTCTGTTGATATATTTTTTCATACAGTGATAATTGGGATTATCATGCAGCAGTCGATGAATCAACTGTAGTTCTCATAATTTATCACTTACAATTCTTGTTGTGGTGTTGAGGGAGGGAAAAGTTAAATAGGAGTAGAGATAGGACCCAACATATTGTTTTTAATAGTTTTTATTACAGCCAACCCCATTAAATAGTGAAAAGAGTCAGCCGTTGTCTTGAAATTATAAAGAGACCAGTTCCCCTATAAAACATTCCCATGTAAAAGTGCTATGTAAAGTCTGGAACTAGAGACGGTCCCTACTCATAGATAAAGTAATGGAACTAGTTTTGTGTCAGTTCCTTATCCTCTAGGAATACATTTTTCTCCTCACCTCTATCCATTTCATCTTCAAATCTACGCCACATTATGCGATTTACATCTACCGGATCCAAATAACGTTCACACAACATACGAAATTCTCGTTGGGTCAAATACTTGCCCACACCCATATTGTATAAAGCTCGTTCAAATTGATTTACTGTTACGGTACCAGTGTGTAAGAGATCAAATCCCTCAAGGAATTCATGTATTCGTATACGTTTTGCATGCACTTGCTTTTGTAGACAGAAAATTATGTCACAAATATTTTTATTTTCAATTGTATGATTACAAATATCCTTAAAAATTCCTTGAGCCATACTGGTTCCATCTATGGCTGGCAATTTTGGTAGTTCTAAGTCTATTAATTTTCCGGGAAAATTACTAACGATTTGCTAGATTATATGAGGAATTAAAGGGGAGTTAATAACGAATTTAACATTATGTCATATCAATCAAATATCTACCATGGCATTATCGGTTAATTTGTTTTCCTTTAAATAGTTTAAAATATTTTGTAAATGTTTAACAAAAGCCACATAATTGACCATATACGAATCCTTCATATAACGTTTTAATAACAATAGAAAATCATTATCGGAGAGGGGAATTTTCATAAAATGTAGCACACGAGAAAAATGAGAAACAGTAACAGTGCCCTCATTTTGAGAGATCTGAAAGTATATTAAAATAATAGAGCTTTTGGCATAGAATTACAATAATATTACCAATTCATAATCTTGAAAATATGGCATTAATGGTAAATTTAAAATTTGAGCAATTTTAATTAAAATTAAACACAGTTGACGACGCTCTTCTGGACGGTCTATAACATTAACATGTAAATTATCATTCCATTCTAGGCCTGTGGCCAAACCTTTCTCCAGTTTCTTGTCATCATCTGGAATTAGATTACAGAAATATTTTATAAAACTCTCAAAATAGTGAAATAAACTTACTTTCTCCACAAACAACTTTACAAAATTCCTTATAAACCACACGTCCATCACGTAAACGAAAATAGTCCGATACTTCACGCAATTCAAAATCGGATAAACCGATTATGTTTTTATATTTTCCCAATATACCGCTAAAAAGAGATTCTTTTTTGCAAAATATTTTAACAGTTTTCTTATAAAATAATTTATAACAACATACCCGATATTAAACCTTTTCCTGCAGGATCATGGATACAAAAGTCGTCGCATATATTGAAACCATACCGAAAGATAGCATCTTGAATTTTGCGACATGCTTTCCAAATTTCATTTAAATTTAAGTCTTGCTAAAAAAAGGATTTAAAACATTTTATAGCTTTTTATTGCCGTTAAAAAAATATAAAATCGGATTAAAGAAATTTAAGATAAAAATGTTTAAGTCCGACAATGGATTAAATAAGATGTTTAAGACCTACAAAATCCACTAGGTCACTTCTTGATGTGTTAGGGAGTTTTGTTCTATAAAGATTGATAAAAAATATTTTCAGTTTTTACTCACTCTTTTATCATCGTCCATTGAACCACTTTTAATAGAATTTATGTATGTTTTAAGTAAAATTATCAATATTCATAAAATATGTTTTAAAAATAAATTTTTTCACAATCGATTGAAATTTAATATATATTTTGTATATAATATAAATGTCAACAAGAATAAATAAGTAATAAAGGGTATTAGAATTATTTTTTGAATTAAATCATGTATAACCGAATAGATATTTCCAGTATGACAATTCCTTGATTAGCTGCTCTTTCAGCTTCCTCTATCTTATCCCCTTATATATTTTCGATTAGTAATATATTAAATATTATGTTTCACAAATCTATGATAAATTTATAAAATTGACCATGGCTATAGGTTAGGTACAACTCACCAATTCTCAAAATGTTTGATACTTTTTAAATCAGGGGTCTTTAAATAGTAATTTCATGCTAATATAATTGTTATACCCTACACCACTTTAGTGGAGAGGAAATATTGGGTTTGTGCTGATGTAAGTAACACAAAGAAATATTGGTTCCACATCCAACTGAAAGTTTCTGAATCGATTAGCATTGTCCTTCCGTCTGTTCGTCCTTTGAAACATTGTAATCAAACTACAAAATATTTGAATTATACTCGCAACTGGTGTAGGGTAGCATATAGTCGGCCCAATCTATACTGTACTTTCCTACTTGTTTATGTTATTCTTGTGTTGCATTTACTGTTAACATTTTATTTCATTATATTACTCTTTAGCAACTCAAAGGGCTTAAATACTTATACGTACATACATATTGTATTCCTTGTAGCATTTACTGTTTCTATTCACTAACTTTCATTCATTTCACTCAACGTTTAAATGATTATTTTTCTATTCTTAATTTTTTATTGCTGGTAAATCAAAATAACCATTTTATTTATTTTCATTTACTAACTTTAATTTCTATTCACTTATATTGCAGCTTTGAAAAATAAATAGTACCATACAATATTTAACAAGCATCAAAAAAGGATATTTATATGTGATAGTGGAGAGGGTCTTTGTATTGCAGTTTCCTTTTATATCGATTGGCTTAGAAATGGATGAGAGATGATACAACTATGTACTAAAATGTGGGTGTCCCAATTATAGTAGGAAGATTCCATTTATATGAAACGAAAAGACGTAGTTAATGTTCCCAATAACCTTTTCAGATTATTTACTACATTTTCCATTTTCTTATTTTAGTTTGATTGATTGAGGGGGTACTGCGACCTGAGTTAAGACTTTTTAGTTTTGAATATTAGAAAATAGGAATGCCTTAATATACATTCAACATTTTATTCTTACTAAAAGTAACCAAAAGAGTGGACAACTCTTACTTAACTAAATTGGTAGCTACACTATAGTCTTCACTGCTATATGCATACATATGTATCTTTAAATAATGCCCCAAATAAGAAAACACTGCAAATCTGTGATCATTTAAATTTGGGATTTTTATATTAACAAGTAAGAGCTATGCCGAATCTAACCCACCATCAAACCGTATGCCGTAACAGGAATGCTCTCCTATAAACATCAGAGTGATATTACTCATCAAATTTACTGAAGAGCACCTTATATGAGAGGTAGGGTGAATTATTGACCGTATTTATAAAATTTTTCATAATTTTTTAGGCCGATTTTGGTTCATTTAAAACATGTTTACATTGAATATCAGTTTCCGACTCTTTCCGGTAAGAAGATTTACGTTCCTTCAAAACTTTCTTAGGTTTTGGCTCGTAAGAAACTTACTTATGTCAAATTTCATCTCTACAATCGTACTTTTAAGACAGTAATGAGCGTTAAAGTATTTATCTGGAGGGGACCTTATATGGGGGTAGGGTCAATTATGGACCGATCCACATAAAATTTGGTAGAGAGGTTTTGGCTTGTCAGGGAATTATTTATGTTAAATTTCATAGCTATACTCGTATTTTTAATCCAGTAATGAGCGTTAAAGTATTTTTTTGAGAGGGATGGTGTCAATTATGGACCGATCCTTATAAAATTTCCTTTGAAATTTTGGATCATATGAAACTTATTTATGTCGAATTTCTTAGCTATACTAGTACTTTTAAAACAGATATGACCGTTAAAGCTGTTTTTCGGGGGTCCACTTGTATGGGAGCTATCCGATAACGTGGAACGATATTACCCATTTTCAATACCAAACAAACCTTATCTATTGTGGAAAATTTCAAACCTCTAGCTCATTCCGTTCGGACTCTATCGTGCTTTTAACAGACAGACAGACAGACGGACATGACTAGATCGTCTTAGAATTTTATAAGGACCCAGAATATACATATATATAATTTTATTGGTCTATGACCAATATTTCGATGTGATACAAACGGAATGATAAAATCAATGTACCCTCATCTTTTTTGATGGTGGGTATAAAAAGGTAAAATCGTCCGTATAAATAATCAACCAGAAAACAAAGAAAATCTTTGGTCAACTCAATTTTTCATCAAAAAATAAACTTCAGAAAAAAATTCTTACAATTTTTTATTTTTCAAATACTACACTATTTTATTCGTTTTTGATGTCTTCCAAAATTGTAAGCTCTGGATCTGATTGTTGCTTATTATGTATATTACCACCTTTACAATGTTTTTTTAAGAAATTTTCTTAATTAATTAGCTTAAATCCTACAAGTATTCATGAAAAAAAAAAAAAATTATCAAACTTTATTTCTGAGTCGACTAAACTCTGGCCTTACGTCTATCCATGTAGTCGAAATTTTCAAGATAATAAGATAAAATTTGTTAAGCATATCATCTTGAACTAAGGATGAATATTACAGATTTTGAAATTCGGCATAAATAACTTTTTTATTAAACATATCTATCTCTCTTCACCAAATTTAATAAGGATCGCATAATATTCAATCCCATATACAATGATTTATTATAAAGAAATAAATCACGGCAGATATATGTAGGGTATCATATGGTTGGCTTTGCCGGACTGTACTTTCTTACTCGTTTTTATGTTGTTGTTTGCGAATTATTTAATCATTGTAATTCAGAAAGAACTAACTTCTATGAGTTTTACTTGTTTGTAACAATTGTAAAAAAGGCCAAGTTGTTGTAGTAATTAACAAATGAATATAAAAATTTATAATTTTTTTTTGTTATTGTCTTACAGGCCAAAACTTTTGGTATTAATGTTAACTTGTAGGGGGAATGTAACCTTATAGGAATAAAAGGTTAGTAGTTCGATTGCCTCCGCGGGTAAAGAAGCCTATTTATATCCTCCTTTCAAACTAACCAATTTACTTTAAGAGGGAATGGAATTTACGATTTTGTAGACTTAGGATTTATAAAAAATAAGTATATATAAATCTTTAAAGCATTTTTATGCCCCACACCACTATAATGGGGAGGGTATTATACGCTTGTGCAGATGTTTGTAACACCCAACTCAGAATAACTTTATAAATCGATTAAGCTATGTCCGTCCATATGTGTGTCATGTAAACCTTATGCGCACGCTACAGATCGCATTTTTCAAAATAATTTGCTGAAATTTGGCCATGGACTGAAAATTTTTGAAATCGGTTCATTATTTCACCTAGCCTATAGTGCCCTTGAGCACATAATTATTTTAAATGTTCTAGTATTTCTATAAAACTCGACGCAATTTGGTATAAGTCCAAATGTTACTGCCGGTTTTCGTAATGATCGGGCCACATTTAACATTAGCCCCCATACAAAGGGGGGAAATCACTTGAAGGTCAATAATTTACTTGCGAACACAAGTATCACAATAAAATTCTGCATAAATATCAATATTTATAATGATAGTCCCACATTTACCTTTGCCCCTGTACAACCCCTCTTTCAGACCTACAAGCTCGTCTTTTTTGTAAACAAATTTTTGAAATATTTCGGATTAAAGGCAAAAAACAGCTTAAATGCTATTATTAAAAATAATTCAATTTTACATATAATTCACTGGTGTAGGGTATCATTCTTACTTATTTCAAATATTCAGTCAGTTCAGTTTATCGTGGGATTCTTCATTTTCATCTCATTAATGTGTGCTTATGTTTGCTTATTAACCCTTTAACGCTAGTATTTGTTAAAAACGATTTTGATATATTATCTTTGTTTGCAGCAATTATTATTGAATTTAGAAAAGTTAATTTCATGCACCTCTAAATTATTACTGGATATATTAAAATAACTTGTGTTCATCGCACATCAAGGGGAGACACTTTGGATTTTTCGTATCGTACATTCAACAGACACACGGATATGGCTAAGAATTCAGAATAAACAGACATATGTACATATGAAAATATTTTTGTGGGCCCTTGTCCAATGATTCGTTATGTAACACACGAAATGAAAAAATCAAAAGTGGCCTAAAAAACAAAATTAACCCCACTAACCCTTTTGATGGTTAACACGAATCATGAAGTGATGATACTACTACTTTATTAAATTCTTTTCTTTTTATACCCACCATCAAAAAAGATGGGGGGTATATTGATTTTGTCATTCCGTTTGTAACACATCAAAATATTGGTCATAGACCCATAAAAGTATATATATTCCGAGTCCTTATTAAATTCTAAGACGATCTAGCCATGTCCGTCCGTCCGTCTGTCTGTTGAAATCACGATAGGGACCACACGAGAGGTGCTAGACTGTTGAAATTTTGCATAAATATTCTCTATTACTAAGGTTTGTTTGGTATTGAAAATGGGCAATATCGGTCCACTTTTTCGGATAGCCCCCATACAAGTGGACCTCCAAAAACAGCATAACTGCTTTAGAAGTACAAGTATAGCGATGAAATTCGACATAAATAAGTTTCATATGAGCCAAAATCTTTCTACCAAATTTTTTGAGGATCGGCCCATAAATGACCCTACCCCCCATATAAGGTTCCCTTTAGAAAATGACTTTAACACTCATTACTAGCCTAAAAATTCGAGTATAGCGATGAAATTTAGTATAAGTAAGTTTCTTACGAACCAAAACCTTTTAACCAATTTTTTTAGGATCGGCCCATAAATGACCCTAACCCCCATATAAGGTCCCCTCCTGAAAATGACTTTAACACTCATTACTGGCCCCAAAATGCAAGTATAGCGATGAAATTCGAC